AAGGTATTACAAGGAAATGGTTAAATGCTGAAGCACCGACAAAAGACAATTGGGTTGATGTAATTCATGATATTTATGTGATGGAGAAATTAACCTATGCTCTAAGATTAGAAACAGAGAAATTCGAAAAGATGTGGAAGGGTTGGCTGAGTTTTGTTAAAACGATACGTTTAGATTTTATTTGAGGGCTCATTTCCCCAATGTTCAGTTCGCTACCAAATTATGTTTTTTTTTTTTTTTGTTTGTTTTTTTTTCCTTCCTTCTCTCTTTTTCAATATAATAGAAAAAAATCTGTATTTTATTTGGAAGATTAAGTTTAAGACAATGTTTGATCCTTAAACAATATTTGCATATGTGTAAGTGTAATAATTGTCTTGGAAAATTAATAAACAAATAATATAAAAAAAAAACAATATCAAGTAATCCAAAGTATTCAGATTACATTACTCACTTTAAGCACTTTAATGGATTACGTTACAAACTACATTTTGGGGATGTAATCTGTAGGGGAATACATTTTAAAAGTAAACTTCCCAACACTGTACTTAACTCCCGCTGCGTTTATTTAAAGGTATTTAAGTAAAGCTGAGACATTTTCTGTGTCTTTATTTTAGTTTTCACTGGTGTTTCGATGTGTTGATGGAATTGAAGATTACTGAGCATAAATATTGACAAACGAGTCCTTTTTTTGTGAAGAAAACCAGGGTAGCTGCGCTCAAAACGCTTCGCTCCACCTCGTGATGTCATGAAATGGTCAGAACTCGGCCTAAATCTGTAGAGTTTGTGCGTTTTTAAACACGCGTAGACGAAACGAAACACAACTCCGGGTCTGTTTGTGATGGGGAAACGACGTTAGAACATGGATCATATACATATAGGTCCTTTAAATATATAGCCCTGGATGCCCCGTCCTCATCCCTGTCCTCGTCCCCGTAAAGCATGAGGCCCCAAATACACAGCTCCACTTCCTGGTGTTGCGTCATGGTCTCTCCCTCTGCCCCTCGTCAGCACTTCTAAGGACAAAACGCTGCTGTCTGCTCCTCTCCGGTGACACTAAGCCCGACGGATCCACTCCCCATACAAACGGCACATCCCGGCCCTGACACTTTAATACACCGGACTCTCGTGCGCCGGATCACGCCCACGCACAACGATTTATACCTAAACTGTATTGTTCTTAATATAAGGATAAAGTTCGTCATAGTGTTGTCATGAATCAGTGTGTCATTTGTTCGTTTGTTTTTCAAAATAAAACCAAAAGTAAAACGAAAAAATAAAGTTTTTCTTCATTATTTGTCTCCAAAATCAAAATGAAAAAACGGACAACTATTCTTTTGTTTTTGATTTAGTTTTTTTCATTTTTTGATTTTGTGTTTAAATGGAAAAAACTGATAACGACTTCTTCAGTGACTTAAACTGAGAACTGAACCGGGTCTGAACCAGCTCTAAACCGGTCCTGTCCCGGGACTAAACTCGGGACTAAACTCGGGACTAAACTCAGGACTAAACTCAGGACTAAACTCGGGACTAAACTCAGGACTAAACTCAGGGACTAAACTCGGGACTAAACTCGGGACTAAACTCGGGACTAGTCTCGGCCCTAGTCTCGGCCCTAGTCTCGGCCCTGGACTGAACCGGTCTCGGTCCTGATCCGGTCCCTGATCCGGTCCCTGATCCGGTCCCTGATCCGGTCCCTGATCCGGTCCCTGACTGAACCGCGACTGAACCGCGACTGAACCGCGACTGAACCGCGACTGAACCGCGACTGAACCAACTGGGACTCAGACCGGGACCAGACCAGGACTCAGGCCTAGTTTAGTCCTGGTTCAATTCTGGTTTAGAGCTGGTTTAGACCTGTTAAGTCCTGTTTTAGTCTTGGTTTAGTCCTGGTTCAGTCTGTAAGTCACAAAAAAACGAGACAAAATTACCTTTTATGTTTTTTTCATTTTGGTTTTGGAAACAAATAATAAAGAAAATAGTTGTTTTTTCCTTTTTTTATTTTGTTTTTTATATTGAAAAATGAATAATACAGACTGTCATAATACTAAAATTTCAAACTATTTTTATACTAATGAACAGACTCGATACTCAGTACTGATTCTGATATTATGATGAGAATAAAAACACTTTCTTTAGACTATAGTGTCATTTTCAGCATTAAATTATAGCACTTTATTTTTTGTGCTCTTTATTTGTTCTAAAACAGCTCAAGATAATTTTAAAGCAATTCAAGAAAGTTTAATTTGTCAGTGTCAATGCAACTTTTTTAACGAGTGTCTAGTTTCGATACTAATTCGATCGATTATCTGATTTCCGATACTTTTAATGGCCTTAATTGCCTATAAACTTGGAGTAAGGATCCGAGATAAACGAGCAAGGACGATATTTGATTGCATCTTTTAAAATATTCAGTTAACAGGGTCCGTTTTAAAGTACAGGCCCATTAACAATTGAGGGAAGACTGAAATATGAACTGCTAAACTAATCCAAGAATGAACCGGGAGACGCGCGGGAGGGCATCTGACACACACACGGACTTTTCGGAACATTTCATTTTTTTGTAGAAGTCTAGACTTGCACAGATTAAAACCCCACAGACTCAGTTCGAGGTTTAGATCTAAAACAGGATGTTAAATTGCCTAAATAGTTTCCAGTTTTGAGGGGAAATCGTGTCGTCTCGGAAATTAAATTATAATGTTTTTTTCTTTTTAAAACTGGGCCAAGATGTTTTTATTTTTGTCTGCGCTTTGATCAGTCGACGCCACAAAAGATGAAGAAGTTAAAACGTAAAAAGCGAGCAACATTTGGCAATCAAAACATCTTAAAATATTACTTTATAGCGCCGCGTTACCTCAACGAAATGCAAAATTTAAACGCAGAACTGGGAAAAACTATCACAATTTCTGTCTTGTTCATATCCTGCCATTCAAATTTTGTCAAATATAAGGTCGGAAATCATAATCGATACCGAAACTAGGTATTTATTTGAACAGATATCGAAAAACTAGAATTGCAGTTCAAAAAAAAAAAAAAGCATGCATATATTCTTGTATAATTAAATTTTTGTCTCATTTATTTCTTGCACTTGTTTACACTTGTTATGGTAAAGTTATTTTCTTAATTTTTGCTATTTTTATCACAATTTTTTGCTTTTATTAAATGTTTTTTTCTCGTGTCAATACCAAACGATACACATTTTTTTAAAGTTGCTTTTTAATTGTATTTTAGTCTGATTTTATTCTCTTAACCAGCATTGTTACGATCATAAACGATAAACGTTTGTGCCTTTTGTTAACATTATTAGTTTGTACGACCGTAAATGGGGAAAAATAAACATAATCCTTACGTTCTTCGTTTTCATTTTGCTTATTTTTGATGCGATCAGACTAGATCTTCATTTGAACAAGTATCGAAACTAGAAAATAAACAACAAAAGGACAAATCAATCTTGTACTAGTTTTGAGTCCACGTGATCATTTTTGTGTTGAAAATTAAATTCTACTAAAAGTGTACTCCTTAGTATCGAAATGGAGTTAAATATTAGACTCATGTTGTCACGAGACTAAACCGAGCCTCTTTCTGGAGTTGAAAATGCCCCTGTGTGTCTCTCGCCTCTTTTCAGTCTGGGATCTTTGTTATGTAGATCATTTCCTGATGCTGCTTTCAGTGCTGGAAGTTTCGCCTCTTGCAAATCCTCGCGGGGGGTTCTGACCTAAATAAAGGGAGTTTTTGGGAACCGGATTGACCAGAAGAAAGTGAAATATTTTAATTGGTGGATCACAAAACGAGTATCAGTTTTTAGTGTCTGTTAGTTTCTGTCGTACAACTTGTTTTGAATTGTTAATTACTATAGCAACAGTCTTAACTTTTTATCATTCTGAACCCCATACGTATAAATGTTATGACTTTATGATATTACTTTGATCATTCCGGGTGTTGGTTGTAAAGTTTTTTTATAGAGTGTTTTACAACAGTTTATCAAATCGGTCAATGAGGTTTATTTAGCAGTAGCAAGTCTGTTTGAGAGTTTATTTTTATTTTATTTTACTTCTGTTTATTCTTTTCATGTCTAAAAAGCTTTAGTAGTTTTGGGAATACATTGACAATACAAAACTATGCTCATTATTGTCCTGTTTGATTTAAGTAGTTGCTTTTCAAATGCATTTTAGTCTAATTTTGTTTGCAAATTGAATGTGAAAGTGTAGTGGTAGTGATAGTAGTAGATTTTTATTATAATTTTTTTATTATAATTTATTTTATTTTAATAATATTTTAGATTATTATTTTATTTTTATATTTTTTTATTTTATTTTTTTTTTTATTAATTTTTATTTTTTATTTTATTATTTTATTATTATTGTATTTTTATTATTTCTTTTATTTTAATTGTATTTATTATTATTATTATTATTATTTATTTTTATTTATTTTTTTCAGAGGTTTCCATAAATATTATATCCACAAATTGCATTATTGTGCAGTAATCAACAGATACATAAAGGCAATTTTTATACTAATCTTTCAGTATCTAAAACATTTTCTGTTTTTATAAAATTTTTAAATTGCTTTCCCGTGTTGAAAAGCCTGGGATTGCAGTTTAAATTGAAATATGCATGGATTTTTTAGTATTGTCGTTTTTTTGTTTTTTTTTTTTTTTTTTTTTAAGTATCCTTTATATTTTTGTGCCTCATTTTGTTATTGCACTTCTTGTTTTTAATATTTTTATAACCTAATAATTCTCTGCTCTTATTAAACATCTTCATGTGTCGGTACCAAACAATACTCTTATTTTTTAAAGTTATTTCATTATATTTTAGTCTTGATTCAGTTCTCTTAAGCAGCGTTTAGTCCAGGCTTGTTATGGTCCAGTCCTGAACACATGTTGGTTGAAATGGGACTCTGGTATTTTGAGCATGTCTAAAATGTCAACTCTGAATTCCTGGGTCCCCCCGAAGCGTCTCTGAAATGCTGTTTTTCTGTTTTTGTGTTTTGTTTCTCAGGAGACGTACGACTCGATTCCTGGAGGAAACAAGATCACGTTTTTGCTGCAGGCGATTCGCGATGTGTCCGTCGCAGAAGAGGTGCGTGTGTTTTAGTATAATTTCTTCATGTTTTACAGTTTTAAGCACCAAAAGTTCTTAATTTTTGGTACTTTAGGTTTGAGGTGGGGTTATTAAACAAGTCAAATAAACTGCTTTGTTAAATTTCTCTGTACAAATTGGCAGTAGAGGGCGCAAGGAGCAGTTCAGCTGGAGAAAGTGAAAGGAAATATTCAGTTATGATTTTCAATTTTATTTTTTTGTTTAAAAATGAGAGATAGCTTTTAATTAACAGGTTTGTCATCCTGGATAAGACAGGATTTTGTTTTTTTTATTGGAGCAGAGGTTAAAGGTGCTCTATAACTTTTAGGGAGAAAGAATCTGTGTATCATTTGTTTTTCAAAATAAAGCCAAAAATAAGAAAATGAAAAAAACAACAATTTTCTTCATTATCTGTCTCCAAAACCAAAATGGAAAAAACGGATAACGATAAATTTTTTTCAGATTTTGATTTTGTGTTTAAAACGATAATGACAGTTTCCCGTTTCTGTGACTTAAACTGAGATGCCGGACTGAACCAGGACTAAGTCAGTCTCTGTCAGTCCTGGTCTCACTTCTGGTCTGGCCCGGTCTCAGTCCTGGTCCTGGCCTCCTGACAGTCTACGTGGGCGCAACTCCAGGCCCTTCCCAACTTTCTAGTCTTGGTTCTAGTCTTGGTTCTAGTCTTGGTTCTAGTCTTGGTTCTAGTCTTGGTTCTAGTCTTGGTTCTAGTCTTGGTTCAGTCCGTATGTGGCGCAAAAGTCCAGCATCGCAGTTTAAGTCACAGAAAAAATATCAGTTTTTCATTTAAACACAAAATCAAAAACTAAAAAGATGAATCATTATCTGTTTTGTTTTGTTTTTTATTTTGGTTTTGAAGACAAATAGTTGTTTTTGCATTTTCTTATTTCTGGTTTTACTTTGAAAAACGAATGAACGAATGGTCCAACATCTGTTTTGTTTTGTTTGTTTTTTAATTTTCCCCCTCTTCTTCCTCTGAGATGTTATTGGTATGTCTGGAATGTCCCACAGTACGGCATTACACTTGTCTGTCTACATGGAAACAAGCAAGTGATGCCACCTGCTACCGGTCAGATCTGTGGAGAGGTGACTCCACAATAAAGATATTCCTAGTTAGCAGGGATATCCAACTCTCTCTGTACGATATTTAGTGCAATATTTTTGATATTTTGGCTGATATAATTGAAGATAGGACACATTTGAGCTTTTAAAATGCCTTGACAAGATTTTGGTGTGAATTATTTCCGTCATAATCCCAGTAATTCAAGTAAAAACACATTTCTTCATGTTGTCTGCGCTGAAATGAATCATGGGAAATGTAGTTCCTGATGTTTTTAAGCTGTTCCTACAATAAAACCATGAATTTAAGCAAACAAACTTGTAATTCAGTATATTGTGACAGCCCACGATATTATTGTGAGACTTTAACGAATACAATATTACGATATTTTGGTTATTGTTACATCCCTAATAGTTATTTAATTATATTTTGTACTATAAAAACACCAGTAATTGAATATATGGACGTTTAAGTTTAATGCCAGACTGTGGAGCATTCTAGGCAAGGAAGATCATCTCCAAGGAGACAAACAAGTGATTGAACCATCCTCCAGAAAAGTTACACAGTGCACCTTTTTAAAATATTGTGATTTTTACTGCCGTGGGAATGTGATTGGCTGTGGACCTGTCAATCAAATGTCCCAAGATGATCAATGACAATTTAATCACGTTTTACTGAAACTGATTAATTCCTCAACGGTAGAACTACATTACAAGGTTAAAAATGTCTAAAAGATCAGTTTGGTACAACATGGGCCATTGTTTTTTTACTTTTACACTAAAAATTGTCCAAGAATTTCACAAATGTCCGTGCCCAGTCATCACTTTCTGGCCCGACTCGTTAGGCGCGTGTTGCGGTATGTTCGTTTCTCAGACTGTGGCAGCTGTTTACGATTCTGATATTTTTAGATTTGTTGAAATTGGAGCAGGGACACGGCGCTTGCATCATGGATTATTTATATAGGACCAGGTGAAGATCCGTCCTGAAATCCGGGATCATCAAAACATGTATTGTCAACACGGTGTCGGTGTTCAGGCAGCGCTCAGGATGAAGCAACGGGCAGATAAAACTGTTTCCTATGATGCAACTGCGCTCGTATCACTAATTAAATTATATTGAATCATGTAGTGTGTAGATTGACAAGAGTGTGGGAAAAAATCAGTTTTAAAAAATACTGAAAAAATTGGATGAGGATTTGTAGTTGCTCAAATTTTCAGATTTTCTATTATCTATAAAATTTAAACCTTTTTTTTGTTCCTACTACAGATATTTGAATTAATTTGAATAATTATTAATAAGTGTCAAATGTTATTTCCAATCAGCTGGTTTTGAATTGTAATTAGCAGATGTGACATGCATAGAGGTCATTCTGTAAGTTACATAACAACCATGAAGTTAAAGGTGCGCTGTGGAACTTTTTTGGAAGGTGTCTGCAAACTAAGTCTGATTTATGAGCTGGTTTAACTTTGTGGAAACCGTCTGACCTTGCAGCATTAGGATTCGTTCACTTGACAGTAGGTGGGTAGGTTGTGACGTATGTAATGCTCCAAATCCTGTAGGAAGAAGAACAATAACGTCTTTCCCCTTGATAAAATTCACCAAACATTCTCTTTGTTCCGGCTTTAAATTCTCGATCTCAGGAATTGTTGCCAAAACAGAATGTCTGTGTTCGTCTACATCCAGCTCGACGCTTTGTTTATGGTTGTGCTGTTCGACAAAAGGGACACAAACAGACGCTACGAGTTTAACGTCACGGCTTCACAGCTGATTGGCCGGTGCGCCGTCAACAACTTCTGAGGTTCTTGCAAACTGGAGGCACAAGGTGGCGTCAGCTTGGCCAGCAACAAACTAATGCTTTGGTTTAAATTGTCCACAGTCAGGCATTAAACTGCTCTGTCTTACATTTATTCAACTACAGGTGTTTATTTCTCAAAAATATCTGAAAATACAGCTGTGAGTGGGATCACGTCTCCAAAGATCTAAACTGTAATTTGGCTTGAAAGTCTCCATGGAGATTAAGTTTATGGCCATATTGTAGGACATTACTTGCCAGGCTGGTGCCAACTAGTGCCTCCACTCAATTTCATTTCTCTCCAGCGATTAGATCAGAAAGAAAATACACTAGACAGTTCGCAAAAACCCTGGAAGTGCGAGTTCAGGCACCAGCCAATCAGCGAAGAGCCAGATATTCTGTGTTGTCAAAATTCACCAAACATTCTTTGTTCCGGCTTTAAATCCTCGATCTCGGGAATCGTTATCAAGGGGAAAGACGTTATTGTCCTCCTTCCTACAGGATTTGGCACATTACATACATCACGACCAAACAGCAGCGATTGGTTAAATATAAATAAAGGACACACCTACTGTCGAGCGAATGAATCCTAAGAAATCCAGACCGTTTCTATGAAGTGAAACCAGCTGATGTTTATGTCCATACTGTTGAACATTACAGGCACATCTTCCAATGAACAAATTAGAGCAAATTTAACTTTAAGGGCAAAAACGTGACGTGTTTTATAAATTCAGTCATAAATATTGTATAATTTAGACAGCAACACTTATTTGGTTTAGTTGGTTTCCTTTTTCATACATAAACATTTCACTGGATTTTACTGAACTAAACTAAGTTGTTGTGCATAATAGTGAAGATTTCTGTTTAATAATTGTGACTGAAATGAAATATACCAATTTAAAATGTTTTAATCAATCGCAAAGTATCTATCGGTGTTTGTTTTGTCTGGAAAAGGGAAAATGGGGCAAATAACCTAAGGTGACTTTTTTCTGCTCCTTTTCTTTCATTTCTTGTGTGTTTGATGTTGTGACACTGTTGATGTCTTTTTATACTTTATGAAATAAATAAATAAAAAAAAATACTAAAATAAAATGGTTAAAGGAAGGTTTAAAGTGTCAGAAAAAGTCCTTCCTTGTGCGTAAATTGTCTGTTATTGGATCCAGTTTTCTGTTGATGTTATGAAGTCAAATCAGTGCTACTTTCTGTATTTTTGTAGTTCAACTTTTCTGCACAAACTCACTTAACCGATGCAAAACTTTGATAAATGTGTCAGAATTAGAACTGCGTGAGAATGTGTCATGTGACCTTTTTACCCTGACCTGTGCTCTGTGCTGTTGCCGGGCAGGTCAGACAGATGGCGGCGGTGCTGCTGCGGCGGTTGCTCTCCTCGGCGTTCGAGGAGGTGTTCCCGGGGCTCACGGTGGAGATGCAGATGGCCATAAAAACAGAACTGCTCACGGCCATTTCCCACGAAACCTCGCCGAACATCAGGAAGAAAGTGTGTGACATTGCCGCGGAGCTGTCCCGGAACCTCATCGGTGAGGAGACACTTTTATACAAAAAACGGGGACAGTATTTGGTTAACACAAATTAATTTAAATACAAACTGAGAGGTCAAATTTATTTTAAAAACAATTCTCTTGAACTACTCTCAAAAAAGCACGTGTTACAGATGGAGTAGATTTATGAAAGAACTTAGATGACCATATCAAAGCTCGTACCAACTTGTTGCACTTCAAAAAAAACAATATAAAAATCAGATCTTACAAAAATACCTAAAAGACCACATCCACTGTCTTCACAACTAAAAACACAACTATGAACTAAACACAGGCTTTTCTTTAACATTTTCTTTAACATTCCCTTTTATTTTGATACGATCATAATGGTTCGTTCAGACGCCGGTGTCAAAAACGCCCTAGACGCCTTTATTTGGACCCCTTTTTAAATTTGAGTTCAGACGTCCCCGACTACTTGCCCTGGAAACAAGAGCCCAGTCCTGGTCTTTTCCCTAAACAATGGCAGACCAGACTGAGAGAGACTTTAGTGTTTTTATGACATGAAACCATCAGTGAGGCGATTGACTCGGTGGCTGCGGTGTGTTTTATATATGTGTACTCTGCTAATGACGCTGGTCCAGTCCTGGTCCAGTCCTGGTCCAGTCCTGGTCCAGTCCTGGTCCAGTCCTGGTCCAGTCCTGGTCCAGTCCTGGTCCAGTCCTGGTCCAGTCCTGGTCCAGTCCTGGTCCAGTCCTGGTCCAGTCCTGGCGATCTGCTCGGTGATTGCGGTGTATATATGTATATGCTGGAAATCTTTGTGGCTCTCCGGTTCTCGGGTCTTTCTCTTTCTTCTTGATAACATCGCTGTGTCTCTGGATACTCGTCCGTGATTGGTAGACGTGTCCAACGCGAAAAGTTCAGCATTTTCAACTTCTGCGTCTAGAGCGTCAACACCAGAACGCTCAAGACTCGCCGCTTCGTCGCTAGATTCGCACTGCGCTGACAACCAAAGACGCGCCGCAAAAACACAGAACACCCTAGATGCTCCGGTCTGAACGGGCCTTAAGTGTTTCATTTTGTGCCTTCTTTATGGTCATGAAGTAATAATAATGATAAACGAAAAAAAAAAAAAAATCCTTACATTTTTTTCATTTTCATTGTGGTTTATTTCATCCGATCGTCAACTTTGTGCCTTTTGTTAACATTATTATTAGTTAGTACAACCATAATACTGTACAAAGAAAATTACTTAAAACAAATTTGGGAAGTTAAAAAATAACTTAATGTAATTTATAACTCAATGAAATGACCCAAATTAAATACAAATATAAACGTACAGGTGTTGCTTCTGTAGGCGTTGCACAGAGTTAGATTTTTAAGTAGTTTGAGTCTATTTTTGTCACAATTTTTCCAACTATTCAAAGTATTGTTCATACTTCAAGCTCTGTTTACAGGTGTGGAATGTCAAAATAAAAGCACAGATTTCAAAATAAAACTCTGCATTTAAGTGAATTGGAAAACAACTGAAAGAAAAAGAACAGTAGGGATGGGGAAATGTTGATCAGAAACGCGCTCAAAATGTTCTTGGTTGACAGAAAATTTCTCTTAAAAACTAGACGGGTGCATCAATCTGTGGTTTCTTTTTTTCGTTTGAAATCTTTTAATCACACATTTTTAAATCCATTTTCCTCCAGATGACGATGGGAACAACCAGTGGCCCGAAGTGCTTAAGTTTTTGTTCGATTCTGTCAATTCTGATAACGTGGGTTTGAGAGAAGCCGCTCTACACATATTCTGGTGAGGACTTTTTAAAAATGGACTTGAACGTGGTGGTGAATGAAAATATATTAACGAAAAACTTCTAATTTTTAGGAATTTCCCTGGGATTTTCGGTAACCAACAGCAACACTACTTAGACGTTATTAAAAGAATGCTGGTTCAGTGCATGCAGGACCAGGCCAACCCACAGGTACGGTTTTAATAACTCCTTTTAAATCAACGTAAATTAATTAAAAAGTAAAAAATGTAGAAGTGCTAATTGGATATTTAAACGTTTTCAGATCCAAATGCTGGCGTCACGAGCTGCGGCCTCTTTTGTTTTGGCCAATGAAGGAAATGCAGTTCTCCTCAAACACTTTTCAGATCTGCTGCCAGGAATATTACAAGTAAGAAAACACATTTATTTTATTTTTTTTTTGGTTTTGTTTTTTTATTTTTTGGTCAATTTTTCTTAAGAAGTTAAACATCTCAGACCTGCTTGATTAATTTTTGGGTAGAGAGTCGGTCAAATGCTTTTCTTCTTTCTTTAAAATGTTATTGGTTTGTCTGGAATGTTCCGCAGTACGGCATTAAACCTTTCGATCTTCATGGAGACCAAACTAGACAAAGTTCCAGGTCAGATCTGTGGAGAGGCAACCCCATTTACAGTCAGAATGTTGGTTTTTCCAGGTATTTTTGAGCTGTAAATTCATTTGTGATTGAATAAATGTAAAGTAGAGCTGTTTAAAGTCACACTGTGGAACATTCCGGGCAGAGAAATGACCCCTCCATAGAAACAAGCTTTTATTAAATGAAAAAATACTTAAATACACTGTATGAACAGTGAAAATATCAATGTTTGTTCTCTGAAATGTACTCATATCTATTGTCTTTTACAATTAAATGTGTTAATTAAACTTGTTTTTGTTTTTTCCCGCAGTCGGTGAACGACTCTTGTTACCAGGGAGACGACTCGGTGCTGAAGTCGTTGGTGGAAATCGCAGACACGGCTCCTAAATATCTGAGACCAAACCTGGAGGCGACACTACAGCTCTGTCTCAGGGTCAGAATCAATCGCTCACCCGTAAAACCAAATGCAAACTGTTTAACGTTTAATTAGCGACTTTCTTCTCTAAGGTTAGTTTTATTCCTCGACGCAGGCTTTGAGCTTCCTGTTATATGCAGCATGTAATATGTAGTTTTATACGGTTAATCGCCATTGCAGCGTTCCTCGTTTTTCATCATTCTAAGTTTACGTTTACACTGAAACGAATCGCCGTATCGGAAACTAATTGCGTCCAGACACGTCGTTTCTGTGTCTGCGAGTCGTCCCTATCCACACAGCTTTGAGCACATTTGTTTACGTTTTACAGAAATGAAACTTAAAACCACATGGCTCATTTGCATAAACTGAGAGCTCAAAAAAACAGCTCAGTTCTTGTGCCTGCTGCGGTTCAGCATTTGTCGAACTTAAAAAAGACACGACTCAGTGGAATAATGAGTGTTCTCTCTGTGACAGAGGGGTGTTCTGCTGTTGGTGAGTCTGTTCTGTGCTTTTATGGCGTTGGAGATGGTTCATGTTAAACTTTTCAGAGATTATACGTGTGCAGGTCATACACACAGACACACGTTTATATGAATGGGGACATATTCTAGACTCTTAGTGTTTTGGCGGTGATTTACTTGGCGGTGCACAGAACTACATCAGAGTATCAGTGTTTTCAGGCGTCCACACAGTCAAGGATCAGATCAGACATGTCGTTTCTGTGTCCGCAATCAAAGCCTTCCCTATCCACACAGTAACGCGAAACCACTTGAAACACTAGACGTCATGATGCCAGCCTAGTCATGTGACATGTGGGCAGTAAAAACAAGGAAGTGGTGCACCATGTCTGAAGTTGCAGCAGCCGATTTTGAGCCAAGGAAGATGGCAAGAGTGAAAGTAGAAAGTAGTTCTAGCTCAGCTGTTTCCCGTTTGTCTCTAGTCATGTCCTTATTGGACCACAGTTTAAACAAACCAGAGCTCCTACATCAGAGTATCAGTGTTTTCAGGCATCCACACAGTGCCGGATCAGATCTGTACTCGGATAAATTCATGGGAGCTGGAGACACCAGATCGTTCCGTCTCTGGAGCCGTTTTCAATCAGATTAGTATGAACGAACACTGCACCTACAACCAAAACAACTTGAATACGTACCAGTGTGGACGAGGCCTGAAACAGCCAATGAGTGTGTATACATGCACATCAATAACCCGGTTATGATCGGGTTTTTTTGAGTATCCCGGTTTCTTGATGGTGCATGTAAACGCAGTAACCCGGTTTCAGTAACCCGGTTATTAGAAACCAGGTTACTGTAGCTGGTTTATTCCAATAGTAACCGGGATACTTGTGGCATGTAAACGCAGTACCCCGGTTACTGCAACATAAAGTTGAGTCGCATGCGTCCAAACGACCTTCACTCGTGTGATCGCTGAAAACTAAAACATGAACTATCTCCTATACAACACACACACAGAACACACTTACCATCATTAGCCCCTCTTCTGTCACAAAAATAACACACATAATCCAGAGTCGTGTCATTTAGTCCAAAAGAAACGGCACAAGGAGCGAGTTGTTTTTATCAGCGCTAACAGTTTATGCTAATTAGCCAAACGGTCTTAAGTTTCGTTTCTGTAAAACGTAAACAAATGTGATCAGAGCTGAATGATCTGATCAAACGGGCTGATGTGGCTCTATAGTGGTTCTGGTTTATCTGTTGTAAAGTTGAGTTTATTTATGCAGAAGATTTTAATGAAGAATCTGCACAGTGGATTGTGGGAGATCTCGTAGCTCCTTAGCTTCTTATGCTAAAGGAGCTCACGGTTTGTATTTTTCCTGGTTTATGAAATTGATTTCAGTTAATTTTTGCGCCTGCGCATTTGTAAGATTATGTCAAGAAACCGGGATACTCCATTTGATCATGTACACGCGGATATGAGTGTCCCGGTTTCTCAGGGTGCATGTATACGCAGTAACATGAATACTGACAGAACCGGGGTATGGCTAATAACCGGGATACTGATGTGCATGTATACACACTCAATGTATGGGTTTCAGAATAATAAATGAATTTTTTTTTTTAAAAGCAGTATAATTTGAATTGGCGGAAAAACGTTATTCAAAAATGTTGCATATAACAGGAAGTTGAAACCCATGAAAGATTTCTATGAATTTCTTAATCACTGGAGTAAAATGCAAAAGATTTAAACTCTTGAGTCTGACTTTAAATGGCCGTTTGTTTTTTTCAGCTGTGCGCGGACACAAACCTGTCGAACATGCAGAGGCAGCTCTCTCTCGAGGTCATCGTCACGTTATCGGAGACGGCGGCGGCCATGCTGAGGAAGCACCAGGCACTCGTGGCTCAGAGCGGTGAGACCTGACGAGGCAGTTACACACATACACACACACACACACACAACCGAAGCTTTAGAACCCCACACTTTTTCCAGTTTTTTGACAATTATTGAGTTCAAACAAGCAATTTGAGTTGAAAAAGAAATAATTTTATAGACCAAAAACTAAACTTTGGACTCAGATCTTCCAAAGGTGGACACTTTCATAACAGCTGAACGCACTCGTGGCTCGTTCTTTTTACAAGAGAAATCAAATATTGTTCAAAAAGTTTTTCCCAAGTCTGTCGCAGAAGTTTCCATAAATGTGTGGCACTTGTAGGTTGCTTCACTCTTTTGTCCAGTTCATCCCAAACCAGCTCGATGGGGTTTAAATCTGGACACTTCATGTTTTCAAGTTTTACCATCTTGTTGTTTTTTCCTGAGGTAGTTTTTGCAGAGCTTGGACTTGTGTTTTGTTCGTTTATCCTTTTTTTTTTAACCTCTGTCTGTTCAGTTCTTACCTTTTGTACCATTTCGAGCTCTTCATTGGACTTGAATTGCAATAAATAACTTGAAAAATGAGGGTGTTCTAAAACTTTTGAACATATTTACCTGAGGATATGAATATGAATCGGTTTGTTTTGAGTTTGTCCTCATCAGATCATATTGTGTTCAGTTCCTCAGATGTTGGCCATGATGGTGGATCTGGAGGAGGACGACGAGTGGGCCCAGGCGGACGAGCTCGAAGATGACGACTTTGACAGGTAAATCGTGAATTATTTGGCAAATATGACTCACGGCGGATTTGTTAAAAGGAACATTTTGCACTGTCATCCTGAAAAGTACAGTCATTGGAGACTAGTCAAGTTTTCTGTTTAAAAAAAAAAAAAGCATCTGTTGGCCACATGTCAATAAAGGAAATCATTTTGTCCCAAACGAGACTCTTGGCCTTAGACTAAATGTTTGTGGTGTTTCCGTAGTAACGCTGTAGCTGGGGAGAGCGCCCTGGACAGAATCGCCTGTGGACTCGGAGGAAAAATAATTTTACCGATAATCAAACAACACATCATGCAGATGCTCCAGAACCGTACGTTTGACACAAAATGGAAACAAAATAAAATCCATAAATCTTTAGTCTGAAACTTTCACAATGAAACACAAATGAGGTTTTAGTTTTTAAAATATTTCTCGGTTCTCTCGGTAGCGGACTGGAAATACCGTCACGCGGGGCTCATGGCTCTGTCTGCGATCGGAGAAGGATGTCACCAACAGATGGAGACGATTCTGAACGAGATCGTGTGTGTGGTGCTCCGGTTCTGCGCAGACCCGGTAAGATTATAAAAATAAAAATATAATTATGTATATATTTAAAATTTTACATTATTTGGCAACAGGTACAAAGGTTAAATCACAATCTGTTTGCCTTCTTCACAGCATCCTCGGGTTCGGTACGCCGCCTGCAACGCCATCGGACAAATGGCCACAGACTTTGCTCCCACCTTCCAGAAGAAATTCCACGACAAGGTACAAAGAAACTGACCAAAGAATGAAACTAACACAACAAGCGGACGTGCGGACGAGACTGGCGCGACGGACGCGCGAACGAGACTGGCGCGACGGACGCGCGAACGAGACTGGCGCGACGGACGCGCGAACGAGACTGGCGCGACGGACGCGACGAAACTGACTGACCAAAGAACGAACGAACGGGACGCACGGAAACTGACCGACCAAAGAACGAACGGGACGCAAAGAACGGGGGGTTCTGACTCTAGTTCTGATGACTCACCCCAAACCCAAAGCTTCCATCCATCTGCTCCAACACTGACTTTAAAATCAAGCTCATAATCTTGATTTTGGAAACTTAAATTGTTTGTCTGTTGCCTCACACAGCCAGATTAGCTCAAAACTCGTGTATAATTTGTAAATCTTCTGCCCTGGTTCTTGTGTCCAGGTGATCGTGGCTCTGCTGGAGACGATGAAGGACCAGGGCCACCCGCGGGTTCAGGCTCACGCCGCCGCCGCGCTCATAAACTTCACCGAGGACTGCCCCAAGTCTCTGCTGGTGCCATATCTGGACAGTCTGGTGCAGCACCTCTGCGCCATCATGCAGGCCAAACTACAGGAGGTATTTATTAAAACACGAAGACGGGACATGTATTTGGACTTTACTGACTCGTCTTCCTCCCCGCAGCTGATCCAGAAGGGCACGAAGCTGGTCCTGGAGCAGGTGGTGACGTCCATCGCGTCTGTGGCGGACACGGCGGAGGAGAAGTTCGTGCCGTACTATGACCTGTTCATGCCGTCGCTCAAAAACATCGTAGAAAATGCCGTTCAGAAGGAGCTGCGTCTGCTGCGAGGGAAGACCATCGAGTGCATCAGCCTGATCGGACTCGCCGTGGGGAAGGAGAAAGTAAGAGTTTGAGTTTAAATGTTCATTCAATAACTTAAAACGTGCCTTGAACTTTGAGGGAAGAAAGTTTGACAAGTTCCACATCTGTCGTCCTGATGTAAGACCGCGCTCTAACCCGGACTGTTTTTGTTCAGTTCATGTCAGACGCCGCCGCTGTGATGCAGCTGCTCCTCAAAACACAGACGGACTTCAACGACCTGGAGGACGACGACCCACAGGTGAGATCAGATATTTTTTTTAAAGACCGTACATATATTTTAATACATATGACAGAATATAACCCCGTCGTTTGTTTCCCGTCAGACCTCGTACATGATCTCGGCCTGGGCGCGCATGTGTAAGATTCTTGGGAAAGAGTTCCAGCAGTACCTCCCTGTGGTGATGGGGCCCCTCATGAGAACCGCCTCCATCAAACCAGAGGTGGCGCTACTGGACAGTGAGTCTCATTCATACAAGTACATATCAAATGATGTCTGCTCTGTCCTAGACATTTTTAGCAGGTAATTTAAGTAGGTCTGAAGGCCAAACCTGGTCCTTCAGGGGGTCAGTTCAGCCCCAGAGTTACTCTGATGCAGTTGCGAAAGGACAAAATTCATGAGGGAGACACAGTTATTAAAACTATTTAATCTCATCCATTTACAGAACTATTTTCCTTCAGAAGATTATTGGCTCTTGCCCCTCTAATACTAAACTTTTTTCTGCTGAAAATGTTTGTCAGTTCAATCGCCCTGGACCAGAGGGGGGGGGGGGGGGTCATTCATAATATGTGAATTCACTACAGCAGTAATTTAAAAATATATTTGACACATTGATATTATTGTAAACAAATCTTTTTTTATGTGTGTCGTAGCTCAGGACATGGAGAGCATCTCTGAGGACGACGGGTGGGAGTTTGTGAATCTGGGAGATCAGCAGAGTTTTGGGATCAAGACGGCCGGACTGGAGGAGAAGGCCACGGCCTGTCAGATGCTGGTCAGGACTTTATACATTTTATATTTACATTCTAGGCCAGATTAATCTGTGTGTCATTCGTTTTTCAATATAAAACCAAAATAAGAAAATAAAATAACAAACAGATAATGATTAGTTTTTTCAGTTTTCGATTTTGTGTTTAAATGAAAAATGGGAAAAAAAACAGATAACGGACTGGACTCGGACTCAGTCCTGATCCTGGTCTCAGTCCTGATCCTGGTTCCGGTCTCAGTTCCTGATCACCCGACAAGCTATGCAGGTGCACCTGTCCGTCCCGACACTCGTTCAGTCCTGGTATCGCAGTTTAATTGAAAACTGAAAAAACTAAACATTATCTGTTTTTTCATTTTGGTTTTGGAGACAAATAATGACGAAAATTGTTTTTTTTTTGGTGTTCTTATTTTTGGTTTGTTTTTTTGAAAAATGAATGACACACGGATACAGATTTAGCATTATATTATAAAGATAATGATGATTTTTTTTTTTTTTCCAGGTGTGTTATGCCAAAGAGCTGAAGGAGGGTTTTGTGGAGTACGCAGAAGAAGTGGCCAAACTCATGGTTCCTTTGCTCAAATTCTATTTCCACGATGATATCCTTTTGTCCTTCTGGTTCAGTTTTGTCTCATATTATCGTTTACCCTTCAGTAGTTTGAATATTATCGTTTATCGTGATGTTTTTCCGTAGCAGCGTTTACTTCAGAATCCTCTGGTCCGTTTATCCGTCCTTGACCTCGTGTCCAGGCGTGCGAGTGGCGGCCGCAGAGTCCATGCCGCTGCTGCTGGAGTGTGCTCAGGTCCGCGGGCCTCAGTATCTGTCCGACATGTGGAAGTTCATGAGCGATCCTCTGATCAAATCCATCGGGACGGAGCCGGACTCGGACGTGCTCTCTGAGATCATGCACTCGTTCGCCAAGTGCATCGAGCTGATGGGAGACGGCTGCTTGGAGAAGGCTCAGCTGGAGGAGCTCGGAGGGATCCTGAAGGGGAAACTAGAGGAGCATTTTAAAAACCAGAGACTCAGACAAGGTACGATTCTGACAGAAGATTTCAGTGTGTTTAGGTTTGTTTGATTTGGCATTTTATAGTCTGAAAAAAACCCAAAAAACATTACAATCATCTCTAGGCTTAACTCGGAAATGTTGATACTGTTAAATGCAACTCGTGTGTTTGTTTCCACAGACAAAAGGGAAGATGAAGATTATGACGAACAGGTGGAGGAGACGCTACAAGACGAGGTAACGGTTTATTTTTAAAAAAACAGAACTCTACCCCTGTAATAATACTGCAACTGCTACTAATACTGCAACTGCTACTAATACTGCAACTGCTACTAATACTGCAACTGCAACTAATACTGCAACTGCTACTACTAATACTGCAACTGCTACTACTAATACTAATACTACAACTACTAATACTACTAATGCTACAACTTCTACTGCAACTAATACTACAACTACTACTAATTGTACAACTACTAATACAACTACTACTACTAATACAACTACTACTAATACAACTACTACTACTAATACAACTACTACTACTAATACTACAACTAATACTACTAATACTACAACTAATACTACTAATACTACAACTACTACTAATAGTACAACAAATACTACAACTACTACTAATAGTACAACAAATACTACAACTACTACTAATAGTACAACAAATTCTACAACTACTACTAATACTACAACAACTACTAATACTACAACAACTGGCACTACTACAACAAATAATCTATTTAAAATCTGTTTGTGTTTATGTTCCAGGACGAGAATGACGTGTACATTTTGACCAAAGTGTCGGACATTCTTCACTCCATCTTCAGCTCTCACAAAGAAAACGTGCTGCTCTGGTTTGAACAGCTGCTGCCGCTCATCATAGAACTACTGGTCAGTCTCAATATCGACCACTGCAGTTTATACGATCGTGTTCTGTGGTTAATCCGCCGTAACAAACCCGCGCTCCTCCCCTTAGCGAGCAGAGCGGCCGTGGGCGGACCGGCAGTGGGGCCTGTGCATCTTCGACGACGTGGTTGAGCACTGCAGCCCGTCCTCCTTCAAATACGCGGACTACTTCCTGGGCCCCATGCTCCAGTCTCTGATCGACCCGGTGCCCGAGGTGAGGCAGGCGGCGGCGTACGGCGTCGGGGTCATGGCGCAGTACGGAGGAGCAAACTACTGCAAGTTCTGCAAAGGTGAGACGAACAGGACGCACTGGGAAAGGTGAAATTATGTGAACAGTAATTAAAGTCGCCAATAGAGACTGCAAGTTTTTAGCCTGATTTCACTTTGTAGAAACCGTGTGACCTCGCAGCATTAGGATTCCTTCGCTCGACAGTAGGCGGGTACTTTTTTTTTTTTTTTCCTTCCTGTCTCGCTGATTGGCTGGTGCCTGAACTCGCACTTCTGGGGTTTTTGCGAACCATCTACTGTATTCTACTTCCTGACCTAGTCGCTGGAGAGAAATAAACTGAGCTGAGGCACTAGGTGACACCAGCCTAACACTTTTTAGCGTTTGGTTTAAATCTCCAGCAGAGGGCGACATTTTGTTATTATGGACCTGCTTTCTAAAGATTACATGATTCATTTGAACACTTTAGTCTTGTTTCATGCTGTTATTTTACTCTTGTTTGTCAGATCAAGTTTTGCAAAGGTGGGTGGTGGATAAAGAAGCAAAAAAAATCACTAAAAATAATTCAAGTTTAAATAATTGCGCGGTCTGTGTACGATTCATTCTTTTGAATTTCAGTTAAGAAAACAAAAAAAATGATTTTGACCTATTTCCAATATTTAATTTAACGTTTATTTCAAATAGGGACGCTATTGCCCTTAGAAATTGTTCAAGATGGTTTATTTGCCCCAGAAGTTCTGCTGCTTGAAGGACAGACTGGAAAAATCTTTGCAATTTTGTGGACAGAGAATAAAATATCCAAATTTAAATAGGCTTTATTAAATACTTTATTATTTAATTAAGATTTATTGGACCACTACTTTATTATCTGGTGTAACTACAAGTAAGAATATTTGTCTGTGTTTTTATATATATTTTTTTTTTAATAATTTGAAGTTAAAATACTAATTTCAACTTGTATTTTAATCTTTTTTTTTTTTTTTTTGGTTTAGTGGTTACCTTTTTTGGCAACACTGGGTGAATTAAATACAGCTACAATATTTAACTCTGTAGCTATAAGTTTCTAGAAAATTAAATAAACTGCAAAAAAAGCAAATACAAAGTCAACCATTCTGCAAAAGTGAAGAGGGATTGACAGAATTGCAGAGTTTTAAGTTACAAACATTGAAATATATTTTGCCCAGTTATCGCCAAACGTCAGGGTTAGTAACGAGATGCAATAATTTTACATAAACATCATTATTTGTGTTTCCTCAGAGGCGATCCCGCGGCTGGTGGGCGTGATCCAGGCCCCGGACTCTCGCTCCAAAGAAAACGTGAACGCTACAGAAAACTGCATCTCCGCCGTGGGGAAAGTCATGCGCTTCCAACCGGAGTGGGTCAACGTCAACGAGGTGCTCCCTCATTGGCTGTGCTGGCTGCCACTCAAAGAGGACAAAGAGGAGGCGGTTCACACCTTCGACTACCTGTGTGACCTCATCGAAAGGTAACGACCGGTTTAAAGCTCTGATAAGTACAACGAAACTGACTCTCGAGAGCGCTTACAATCTGTGTGTCGTTTGTTCATTTGTTTTTCAAAATAAAACCAAAAATAAGGGACAGGGACTGGGGGCCGGGGACTGGGGGCCGTCTCGGTCCTCGTCCCGATCTTGTCTAAATAAATAAATAAAAACAAAAATAAGGAGGCCGGGGACTGAGGGCGTCCCGATGTGGTCTCGGTCCCGGTCCCGATGTGGTCTCGGTCTCAGTCTCGGTCTCTGTCTTGGTCCCAATCAGGTCTGGGTCTCGATCTTGTCCCAGTCCCGGTCCCAGTCCCAATCTTGTCTTGGTCTGGGTCTCAATGCCGATCTTGTCCTGGTCTCAGTCTCGGTCCCGGTCTCAGTCCTGATCACCCGACAGTATGTGGGCGCAACTCCAGGCTGTCCCGGTTCAGTCCATTACCTGTTTTTTCCGTTTTTCATTTAAACATAAACAAATTGTCTCCAAAACCAAAATGAAAAAAACAGATAAATAATGAAGGAAAAAAAAAATATATATATATATATATATATTTTTTTTTTTAATTTTTTTTTTTTTTCTTATTTTTGATTTTATTTTGAAAAATGAATGAATGAATGACACACAGATTTTTTTTGCCATGTTCTAACACTGTTACCTCCTCAAAGATACTTGGAAACCGTTTTGAGAGGAAAAGTCAGTTTAAATCTGTAGGGTTTGTGAGTTAAACATGTGAACGAAACTAAACACAACTCCAACTACATTTACGATGAGGAAACATTATAACAGAGATCGTAGTGTAATATGGAAAAATTTGAAAAATAAACATGAGTTCTTTGAAAATGTGCTGAACTCATATTTTCTTCTGCAGTAACAATCCCATCGTCCTGGGCCCGGACAATGCAAACCTCCCCAAAATCTTCCTGATCATCGCGGACGGAGTCGCGAGTGAATCCATCAAATGTGAAGACGCCTGCAGCAAAAGACTGGCCAACGTTATTCGACAAGTTCAGGTGAGAAAGAGACTGACGAATCAAACTTAAAATACTGAGAAAAATTACAGACCCCACTGTCCTGAAACACTGATATTTAATTCTATCGTAGGTTTCCCATTTTCAGATGTAACTTGTGGTCCATTTGAAAAAAGGACAATACATTTTTATTTTTATTAGATTATAAAAATTATATTTATATTAGTATTTAATTATTTATCTAGGCTCAGTACATGGAAACTAAACCACTTTACTTCAAAAACATGTTATGTAACCTTCAGTAAAAAAATATTTAACTTGGTAATATTTTTGCATTGCCTGGAAAGTTTCATAGTATGGCATTAAACTTGAGAATAGTCAGTATTTTTGATCAATAAAAAGCCTGTAATTGAATAAATCCAAAACTGTGGAACATTCTACGTGCCGATATATTTAGTGATGTAAAAATTCACTGTAAATCTCAAATAGTTTAAAAAGCTACACCCGAGTGGATTGTGGCGCGCAGTCGTTTTTTGATGGAGTTAGAGGATTAAGAGGTAATCTGTATTTTGTCTCAAGTACAGAGAGTCGTAAGTGAAGCTGTAAATGCAAACTTGTTCATGAGCTGTTTTTCTTTCTTGGATTTCTGTCATTGTTTAATAGGATTTGGTGTTTTTGCTTCAGCTTGGACCCTTGTCGTTGTTCTGTTTTGTTTTTGTTTTGTAGTGCTGCAAAAACGACCCAATAAATAAAACGACTTTTAAAAAACTTTTACTGTGAATGAATACAAACACATTTTCAGTTTGTGCTTCAGGTTTCGGCCGGTCTAAACCTCGACTACTCTAGGCCTAAAACTAGGTCTAAACCTCGACTACTCTAGGACTACTCTAGGTCTAAAACTAGGTCTTCTCTAGGTCTAAAACTAGGTCTTCTTTCTAGGTCTAAAACTAGGTCTCAACCTGGTCTCAACCAGGACTAAACACTTGTTCTGTTTTGTGTTTCAGGTTTCAGCCGGTTTATGGACACAGTGCGTCTCCACGTTGAACGAGACGCAGCAGAAAGCCATTCAGGACCTGCTCAACACGGCCTGATCCTCGCCTCCTACGTCCTCCCTCCCTCCCTCGTCTCCTACTTCCTACTCCCTCCCTCCTCGCGCTAACTCCAGACCGTGTAAACTCCTCCCCCCTCCTCCTCCTCTCTGCTGCTCCGGGACTACGCCACATCTTTAAAACGTTTATTTCGGGACGGACTTGAACGCATCTTTGTAGACTTTTAAAATCGGGGAGCCATCTTTTTTTTTTTTTTTTTTTCCCTGCCTTATTTCATCCACTATTATGCATCCCAACCATTCCTAACGAAAGATTTTACATTAAAACAACCGAAATGGGGGAAAAAAACAGGAGTAGCATATTTTTATGTGGACTTGAACATCAAATTACACTGTCTCTGTGAATTTTTTCTTTTCTTTTTTTTTTGTATTTTATTTGCGTTTCCGGCGTCAAAGAAGTTCCGGCATGTTCATAGTGGCTAAACTCTAGACATTATAAAAGCGAAGTAGAAACGTGGTTAAATTGGGAGAGTCGGCGTAATGCTGGGCTCCCTCCCGATTTATAGAGTTTGAAGGTAAACTTTTGAACGGTTCCACAGCCTCAAATAGCATATTGCTGAGTTTAAACGGCTGTTTTCGTGGACTTTGTGACAAAATGGAGGCAATTTTTAGGGTTGTATGTTGGAGAAAAAAAAAAAATGCTGAGGGAAAAATAAAAAAGAACATGAAGGTTTTGGACCCTGTTGCAGCCCCCGCGGAAATTACGATGGAATATTAAAGAACCACAATAAATTCCATTTGAAAGAAACGAAAGACATGGTTTGGTTCATTTGTATTTGTGTTTGAAGGTGAAATGTTACGCAGTACGGCATTAAACTTTATCGTCACGGAGACCAAACTGGACCAAGTTACAGGTCAGATCTGCGGAGAGGCAGGCGGCTGACGCTGCACCAGAAAGTTACACATTGCAGCTTTAATGGGGATAATTTTGTCTCTTTCTACAAAACTATAACTTTAGACCAGGTTTAAACCTCGACGAAAACCGGGTCTAAATCTGGTTTAAATTGAGTCTAAACCTTGTCTAAAACTAAACCAGGACTAAATCAACCAGGTCTAAACCAGGACTAAACCAGATCTAAACCAGAACTGATCCAGGTCTAAACCAGGTCTAATTTAAAACTAACGTAGGTCTAAACCTAGGTCTAAACGTAGGTCTAAACGTAGGTCTAAAACAGGACTATACCAAATCTAAACTAGGTCTAAACCAGGACTCAACCAGGACTAAACGGGACTAAACCAGGTCTTTGATGGGGTTAGTTTGTCTATTTTGTGAAGGTAACATGTCAAAGTAAAAATCTGAACCCAGTTTAAAACCACTTACCATCCACCCGCCCGTCGGCGGGCGATTTTCCAAAAAAAAAATGTCACTCTGTATTTTCACCTTCATTATTGTTTTCACTACTGGCATGCCATACATCGTTTGAAAGCTTAATTTCTCAATAAAACAACCATATCATTCATTTTATGCCCTACAACGAGCCCAAAACGCTATAACTTAAAAATTCACATCATAATCAAAGAATAAAATACGCGTTTCTTACCTTTGAGCCGGTTCTGTCGGTCCAAAACGCGTTCAATCCATGAAAAGTTGTACTCAATAAGTCCGTAATAATCCACAGAAAAAGAATATCAAGTTGTTTTTTCCATAAAATAATTCCATGTGGGGAAATAATCCAAAAAACCCTCGTCCGTATGAATCGATGGATACAATGATATGAAAAAAAAGTTTCTCTTCTCCCTCCCTCCACTGCGTTTCTAGCAGGTTTGCTAGCACTGTTGGGTACGCTTGTTTTCCTCACACTCTTAGCTTCAAAATGAGACCCTCCCCGCTGTTGTCGGTGGCGGGGTTTAGCTGGGACAAGCCGCTGAAAAAGCTAACGCACCCACGTACTTCCTGGCTTTACGCACGCGTCATCAGTTTGTTTACGGGAAATCTCTTCAGTCATTGGATCTTCCAGAAAGTGATTGACATATTGTTTTAGCCTATCACCAGAGCTTTCAAACGGTGGGTGGGACATTCAGATTGTATTGGAAACGGACCCTGTGTTTATAAGCGTAAGGAGAGAGGGAGACAGGCATATAGAAGGCAGATCTTCCACTTGGAGGACAATTTTGGCTACTTTTAGTTTTTTTTCTTGAGAAAACATGCCTAAAGCTCAGAAGAATTAGTATTATAATAACTATTATTATTATTATTTTGGCACAAATTTGGCAATCTTGTGCCGAATTGTCATTTTGTTTACACAAAGGCTCACAGCATCAAAACCCTTTGTCCTAGAGATCTGAAATTCTACACAGTTGTTGCCAACAACTTGAACAATGAGTGTAGTGAGTCACAAATGCCTAGCATGAAGTATGCCCAAGCTAAGGCCTTTATTTTTTTTATTTTTTTTTTTTTCGAAGCAAAAAAATAAAAAAAATTTTCCATTTTAATTGACTGTACTGTAGGTTAGGCAGCACTCACAGTCTTCATGTACATATCTACAGAAACTAGAAGGCCTAAGATTTAAAATGGTGCTTCACACAAGCATGTGGGTTCTAAGGTTTTCTTTTAATAAGCTATGGCATTTGGGTATGTAGTGCTATTGTGCACACACCAAAATGAGGTGGGTGGTAACAGGTTAACTAAAATATTGAGTGAATCTTATATTCTGCCCGGCAACAAGAACCACATCTTGAAAACCTTTTGAACAATTATTTAAACAACGAAACAGAAGAAAAGTGAACGTGTCGAGGGTGGACCAGTCATGCGTTTATTGGATTTAAACAGTAAAATTAAAGCTTGAACCAAACAGTCGTGAATTTCGGAGCTGGACTTGGCAATAATTCTCTACCTTTTTACAAAAATATACACGGTTCTAACGGGTGAGACTGAAACTGTACACGTGATGTCCTTCTGAAACTGAAACACGTTTTGGCTTCTTCAGTCGGTTTAATCATATTTTTTTATTTAAGTATTTTCAAAACTTGATTAAAATTAAGAAAATAAGAATAAGTAAATCTGTTTTAAATCCCAAACCTGTTTTCCCTTTTGAAATCCACAAAATGATTCTGATTTGGGAATTTAAAGCTGCACTGCGTAACTTTTTTCTGGAATGTTCCACAGTGTGACATTAAACAGCTCTGACGTGGTTCTGACAGCGGGGGGTCGCCTCTCCACAGATCTGACCTGGAACTCTGCCTGTTTTTTTTTTTTCTCTGTGAAATATGCATTTAATATGAATGCCATACTGTGGAACATTCCAGACAAAGCTCTAAACCAAATCTTAATGAGGTCTACACAAGGACTAAACCAGGACTAAATCAGGTCTGAACTAGGACTAAACTAGGTCTAAACCAGGTCTGAACCAGGTCTAATTTAAAACTAAACCAGGACTAAACCAGGTCTAAACCAGGTCTAAACCAGGTCTAATTTAAAACTAAACCAGGTCTAATTTAAAACTAACCCAGGTCTGAACCAGGTCTAATTTAAAACTAAACCAGGACTAAGACAGGTCTAAAACAGGTCTAAAACAGGTCTAATTTAAAACTAAACCAGGTCTAAACCAGGTCTAAACCAGGACTAAACCAGGACTAAACCAGGTCTAAGACAGGTCTAAGACAGGTCTAATTAATTTAAAACTAACCCAGGACTAACCCAGGTCTGAACCAGGTCTGAACCAGGACTAAACCAGGACTAAACCAGGTCTAATTTAAAACTAAACCAGGACTAACCCAGGTCTGAACCAGGTCTGAACCAGGTCTAAACCTAAATCTATGACAGAGGTTTAATGCCACACTGTGAAATATTCTGGACAAAGCAATAATAATAATCTCTATGAAGAAAAGCATCGTCCACCAGAAAAGTTACACAATGCACCTTTAAAGTCACATTATTATTATCGTATTTTCTTATTTTTGGCCTTTTCCTTTAGACCCGGGGCTGTGACGTTTGTTTCCCTCGGGTTAAATCTTTGTCACTAAAGAGGAAAACACAATAAAAAGTAAAATTGGCAGCGTAATACCACATTTTAACTTGAAATATTTGTCCAAAAACAAAAAACAAAACTACTAAAGTGTGACCACTACAGGAGCAGAGGCCAAAACGAGTGAATATTAACAGAATAACTGGCCTCTATTTAATAATAAAAAAAAACTACAGAAGATTTTAAATATCTGAATTTTAAATATTAGAATTTTTGTCACTTTCTTTTAAATTAATTTGACGAAGTTTAGTTTTTAGTTAAATTATTTGACACTTGAAAGATTATGAGGCAAAATTAATCCGTGTGTCATTTGTTGGTTATTTTTTCAAAGTAAAACCAAAAATAAGAAAATGAATAAACAACAATTTTCTTCATTATTTGTCTCCAAAACCAAAATGAAAAAAACAACGACCGTTTCCCGTTTACGTGACTTAAACTGTGATGCCAGACTGAACCAGGACTAAAACAGGACTGAACCAGTCTCAGTCCTGGTCTCAGTCCTGGTCTGAGTCCTGATTACCCGACAGTCTACGTGGGTGCACCTCTGGGCCTGTCCTGACACTTAGTCCTGGTTTAGTTCTGGTTTAGTCCTGATTTAGTCCTGGTGTTAGTCCTGGTCCAGTCCTGTTTTAGTCCTGGTTTAGTCCTGGTGTTAGTCCTGGTCCAGTCCTGGTTTAGTCCTGGTTTAGTCCTGGTCCAGTCCTGGTTTATTCCTTTATCCGTTATTTCCATTTTTCATTAAAACCCAAAATTTAAAACTGAAAAAACAAACCATTATCATTTTTTTTCCCCATTTTTGTTTTGGAGACAAATAAGAAAACCAAAAAAGGATGATTTTCTTTTTATTATTTTTGGTTTTATTTTGAAAAACGACTGAACGAACGACACACGGATTAAAACTGAACGTTATTTTAGTTTTAATTACAGTGAAAATGAGAAAATTCAAACATTTAACCTCCAGTCTGATAATCTTCCGTCGTTCTACAGAGTTTATTGACAGAGTTTTTATTTAGATTAATTTAAATCCTTCCGTGACCTTAAACGTGATGAAAAGCGGCTTGTGCGTTAGTTTCAGTTGACTGGATATTTACAATGGAGCTACGAGAAGATTTTAGTGTTTGATTTCTGCGCTGAGTTTCCGGGAGCTTCCGTTTCTCTTCGTTTTTTATATTTACTGCAGCATGTCGACGAAAGCGTCAAACTCGTCCATGTTTTTCTCGTAGACGGCGAGTTTTTCGGGTAAAGAGTCCTGAGGAGGAGAGAGGAACAGTCAGAGGAAAATAAAATACAGACACGTGATTTTCAGCGATTCAGAATTCATAAATTGCTTCTAAATTTACAGATTCTGAGCTTCAATGTCTCAAGCAGGGCTCCCGCTCTTTTTCACGACCTAAAGTGAATTTTCCACGACTAGAGATGTAACACTAACCAAAATATCGTGATATCGTATCGTCAAAGTTCTCACAATAATATCGTGGATCATCACAATATAAATTACAAGTCTCTTTGTTTAAATTAAAAGTTATGGTGTAGCAACAGGTAAAAAAAAGACAGAGGGAACTACACAGACCATGATCCTTTGCTCCATTTCAGTGCAGACGACAAGAAGAAATAACAGTTCTAACACTTTTAACTCTTAGTTTTTTGGATTAAGTCTTGTCAAGACATTTTAAGACAAAAAAGGTGCATATTAACAGTTTTAGCTGTTCAGCCTCCACAAAATATCACAATAAATATCGTACCGTGAGATGTATATCGTGAAAATATTGCGTAAATATCGTAAGAGGTTTGGATATCGTTACATCTCTAATCGTGAGCTTTCCCATATCATCACAATAAATATTGTATCGTGAGGTTCATACCGTGACGATATCGTATCGTGAGACTTGGATATTGTTACACCCCTAGTTTCCACTCGCGTTATGGTTTGGGATTATAGTTTTTAACATCTATAATCCTGTCAGTGCATTTATTGTCGTCTCTTTTAAACAAAAGGCTCAGACGTTCAGAAATAATCAGAACAGTCTCATGAGAACTTAACAGAACACTGAAGTTGCGTGAAAGAGATACTAAGATTCCATGACTTTTCCAGGATTTCCATGACTGTGGGAACCCTGTCAAGTGTTTTCTAGCACATTGTTTCCCCAAGATGTGAATTTTTTTGGGTCGCGTTGTCACAATCTGCATGTAGGTCTGACATACATAAATCTCTGTGCACCCTTCCTCCCCACTCCTCACTTTTTCAGCAGCTGTGGGAAACACTGATTACTGTTTTTCATCGTTTAAACCTTGAGTAATACAACTTGTTCAGAGAGACACGATCACTCTGTCAACAATAAAATATCCTCATTAATAGGGGTGTAACAATATCCAAGTCTCACGATACAATATCGTCACGGTATGAACCTCAGAGTACGATATTTATTGTGATATCACGGGAAAGCTCATGATTAGAGATGTAACAATATCCAAATCTCTCCATTTTCACGACATGCATCTCACGGTACGATATTTATTGCGATATTTTGTGGAGGTGAACAAAACTTTTAATATGTTACTTTTTCCTCTTAAAATGCCTTCACAAGACTTAATCCAAAAAACTAAGACTTAAAAGTGTTAGAACTGTTATTTCTTCTTGTCGTCTGCACTGAAATGGAGCAAAGGATCATGGTCTATGTAGTTCCCTCTGTCTTTTTTTTTATCTATTGCTGCACCATAACTCTTCATTTAATCAGAGACTTGTGATTCGATATATTATGATGATCCACGATATTATTGTGAGAACTTTGTCGATACAATATCACGATATTTCAGTTATTGTTACATCCTTACTCATTAATGTTCAATAATGGTCACAGATTTATGTCTGTTGACTTGGGTTGTGAAGGTTTGTGACTTTTAAAATATGGGTCCCCAGAAAAAAAGTTTGGGAAACACTTTTCTAACACACTCAGGCAAAAGCTGTAAATAAGAAGTTACCTGGTAAAATAAAATGTTTACAGCTGTAGAAGACAAACTGTATCACTACTACAAACTCGTCTGAATTAAATCGGTATCATTTGGCCTGAGTCAGATCTACGTGGATGTGAGACCGTGAGTGACCTGCCATCCAAGTGCACAGTCTGTCCCAGGGCAGCTGTGGCTACAACTGAGTGTGAAGTGAGTGAAAGATGCTGTAAAGTGCTTTGTGTCCCGTATAAATCAAAAACATTATTCTTGTGTTGGTTAATAACTGACCAGATCATCGGCCATAGACTGAGAGCTGATGTGGAGCGACAGAGACGCGAGCTGAGGAGGGTTCTGGAACTCTCTGTAGAACGTGCCCAGGTCCATCGGCAGCAGGTCGTCTTTGGAGAACGCCGGCCTCTGGAACAGTCATACGAGATAATATAAGTGTGTGGTTTGTCACGAATATGTGTGTCTGATAAAACGTCTGCAGACAAAAGAAAACATGAAAAAAATACTGCGTCTCGTACAAAGTCGACCATGACGAAGTCGTCGTGGGGCCCTGAGCCCTCAGAGCCCTGTGAGTGCAGACTGCCCTGGAGCGGGGACGGGCACGACGGGGAGTCTGGGGGCTGCACCTGGAACAGAAACATCAGAACAGTCAAACACACGAGAAGAGATCAGACCTGAGACTTTTGTCCATGGATCTATTATTACTAAGGTGTTGTTGCTTATATCTGCCTCTAGTCGTTGTAGCGACACTCACTGGTATTTCTCATCAAGCGCAATGTAATCACAAACTGCTCGTGTTCAGCTGACAGGGACCTACAACTTTCAAAAATGTAGGATTTTGTGACAATTTTTACCTATTTTTATATCATAAACTGGCCAGTCTGGCGCCACCTAGTGCCTCTGCTAAATTTCATTTCTTCAGCGACTAGATCAGGAATCAGACACTAGATGATTCACAAAAACCCCAGAAGTGCAAGTTCAGGCACCAGCCAATCAGAGAAGAGCCAGACATTCTGTGTTGTCAACGATTCCCGAGATCGAAGATTTAAAGCCGGAGCAAAGAGAATGTTTGGTGAATTTTATCAAGGGGAAAGACGTTATTGTTCTTCTTCCCACAGGACTTGGAAAAAACTTAATATACCAGTTAGTCCTGTTAGTGGCGCATTACATACGTCACGACCAAACAGCAGCAATTGGTTAAATGATGAAAAGTACCTGTCTACCGTCAAACGAATAAATCCTAATGCTGCGAGGTCACACAGTTTCTACGAAGTGAAACAAAGTGAAACCAGCTGATGAATCAGGCTAATCATAAACTGTTTCTCAGATCAAACTCCTTCAATCGTTTTAAAAAAACGCTTTATAATTGTTCTACGCTACAGCTCCTCTCGCTCTGATTGGTCAAAGCGATCACATGATACACAAGACCACAGTCCCTGTGTAAACCCGCGGGAGAAAAGACACTAGTGCACATGCTCAATCAGCCCAGAGCCACTGGAAGAACCTCACCGGGCTAAAGGCGAATCTGGAGTCAGGTTTGTTTTTGTCATGCAGCCCTTGACCTTGAGTTAATCCGACCTCCCACGCCTTTTTGATAATCATTAAAACATAGTGAGACATTACAGTCACCAATATTTAACAGAAATTTGTTACTCCGGTGATCGCTCTGGTCTGGACCTGGATTCAAAAATGGCCTCAGGAAAAAGATCAGCGTCCACTCCATTTTAGACTGTACAGATGTTTATGGCTTCTTTATGGATTAATTTGGTTGCCTTGAATTTCTTTTTCATTATGGACTGAATAATATTTGTGTGTGAAATTAAAAAAAAACACATAAAGGTTTAATTTGTACCATTCGATCGTTCTCTTCGGCGTCTAAACCTCTGGGAGCGAACGCGGCAAACGGCAGGTCCAGACTCGCTGCCGTCAACTGAAAAACACAAAATCAAAAAAAAAAGAGAGAAATCACCGCAGAGAAACACAACCACCACGAGTAATTAAGAGATTATTACAGTCGATTTATATTATCAGCAGAATTTCTACCTGTGCGTTCGGTTTATTGACGAAAGCTCCGACTTTTCTGGTGAAATTCGACAAAGACTCGACGGGATCTGAGGGAGAGACGCTTCGTCTGTCTCCGCTGTGACTCAGACCCTCCTCGTCCCCGCTGGGAGCAGGAGATACTTTTAGAATCACTGCTTTTCTAGTGTTTATCAGAGGTATAATAATAATAGTAGTGTGTCTTTACCTGCTGGTGGAGGTGTTATGAGCCTGCTCCACCGTCAGATGAGCCTCTTGTGTTTGTGTCGGGATCAGCACGACTCCGCCGTCTTTCCCAGCATGCATCACCTGCACATTAAACCAGACGTCACCAGGGTTGGATATGAAAAATAACACTATAAATAAACAATAATAATTACAACAACTATTATAAAACTTGTTCTTACTATTCGTCTCTATTATGTCCCTGTTTTTACCTGTGGTGCTTGCGCTGGTCTTTCTCTCTCCCTCAGTCTGACTCACCACTGCTTCTGTCTCTTTTTGTCTCCTCGTTAATTCCTTCGTCATGTGATGCCGCCGCTGCTGAAATGTCTGTGATTTTGGCACAACTACCAGCGTCATTATGGAGACATTTAATGTGTTTGACGTTTGGGCGCTTTGCTCATCATTCACCTGCTTTGCTGCAAGTCGTAATTATTATACAATCGATTCAGATGAACTACACGGCACACGTGAATGATGAATAATGAACAAATCAAGCTCGGACTGGCAATCAGTACAATTGCACAAATGCCCAGTGGGCCGGTCCACATTTGGGCTGGAGAGGGACGGTCCCTTGCCCCTGGTCTTCAATTTTGACTGGCCCGAAATGCGCACTAGCGACACCCCCCCACAGCACTAGGCCAACCCAAACCGGCCCAAAAACTGCTTCATGATAAATTACGACGCTCAATGTGTGAAGAATTTGTGGAAAGATGTTCACGCGAATGTCCGATTTAATTAGCACCATTCAAATAAACAAACAGTGCAGGGTTATGTCTCAAACACGTCTGCATCACTCATGATCCGAACACACCTACGGAAAATGATTTCTGTCACAAACCTCAAAGAACACCTTCCCATAAAGCACTGCAGCCAAGTTTATAGCTCGATACAGTATTTTAATTTTGTCAAGTATTATTAAAAATCTGAAAATAATCACATCATTTGTGCTAAAATAGTCAAACTATGTGTATATTTTTTTTTCTTTAAGAAAAAACTTGGTTATGTGGATGTTTGTGTGCATGTTCAGTAGACAGAGGCAGACGGATGGACCCGGCTCTTCCTGCACTCCGCTGTGTTACAGACAAATAATCCGTCTGTTTTATACAGTGAGTCTCTGGTCGACTGGTGAATATATCGGGAGTCATATCTGCAAAGGTGCGTTTTACACACCCCTCACAGTTTCTACACGCTTTGTTCACAAGGCGCGTTTTTTCCATTTTGTGTGTAAACAACATAAATAATGAAAACTCAGTGTTTTCATTAGTTAGTGATTTTTGTTTGTTTGTAATGAAAAGCAACTTAGAACACACATTTCTGAGTCTTTGCCCCTGGTGGGTCGGTCCAGAGGAAAAATGCCAGGGCCATGCTTGGTTTTATAGTAGCAACAACTTATAAACACGGTGAACTACATCTCCCATGATTCATTTCAGTCCAAACATAATGAAGAAATATGTTATTTACTTGAATTCTTGGGATTATGATAAAAATAATTCACTCCAAAATCTTGTCAAAGTATTTTAAAAGCAAAAAGAGTGTCCCATCTACAACTATATCAGCCTCTTCAAAGTATCACAATAAATATCGTATCATGAGATGCATATCGTTACAAACTACCACTTCATGACATCACAAGGTGGAACAGAGCGTTTTGAGGTTTGGAGACGCAGACAGACTAAGAATAAAGAGTTACTCAAACAAAAACACAACTTCAGCTCTGTTTTTGAGGAGGGAACAACATTATAACAGGACTTAAACCTCACAAGAGTCAAGTTTGTGTAATATAGGAGCTTTAAAAAAATTAAAAATCCAAATCTCACACGTTTCTTTAAAATCCGCGGGGGTCTGTTACCTGGTTGTTGGCGTTGGGGTGGCACAGCTCTGGGCCTGTGATGAGCGGAGGCTGACAGCACAGTCTGGAGCTGTACATCTATAACAAAACATCAAGAACGTGACTAAAAATGAAATAAAAACGTGTCCTTAAGTAAAGATGAACAACTGGATTTGAACGATTCACATGCATTAGCACTAGTTTACAATACTGCGAGTGTTTTCTATTTAGAAAGCTGCAAAAACAAAACAAACCAGACTTGCTTAATAACATTACTTGGAAGATTACGCTGATATTTTTGCATTTTTGTGGATAATTTTTAAATTTACTGTGACACTAGAAACTCAACAGAGACTTTTACAAACAGGTTTCGAGCTAAACTGCAAAAATATCAAGACGTTCAACATGACGTGACCTCGAAATAAAACACAAACACGGTGTATTTAAAGATGCACTATGGAACTTTTATGGTGGAGAGTAAAGGAAGAAAAGCAGGACAAGTTACAGGTCAGATCTGTGGAGAGACACAACCTCACTCACAGTAATATATGTTTTTTTTCAGCAATAAAAGCTCCTGCAAACACTGTTGGGAAAGTTACTCTCAACAAAATAACTGCGGCTGATTGTCAAATAACAATCAGCGAGCGAAGATGCGCCGTAAATGGACTAAACCAGGACTAAATCAGGACTGAACGAGGACTGAACCAGGACTAAACTAGGACTAAATTGAGGACTGAACCGAGGACTGAATGAGGACTAAACTAGAGTTGAACCAGGACTGTACCAGGTCTAAATCAAGACTAAACCAGGGCTAAGCCAGGACTAAACTTAGAACTGAACCGGGACTAAACCAGGACTAAACCGGGTCTAAAACAAGACTGAACCGGGACTGAACCGAGTACTAAACTAGAGCTAAACGAGAACCAAACCAGGACTAAACCAGGACTGAACTGGGACTGAACCGAGGATTAAACTAGAGCTAAACGAGAACTAAACCAGGACTGAACCAGGGTCTAAACCTGGACTGTACCTTGACTGAACCAGGTCTAAACTGAGGACTAAACCAGGACTAAACTGAGGATTAAACTGAGGACTGAACCAGGAATAAACCAGAACTAAACCAGAAATGAACCAGGTCTAAACCAGAACTGAACCGAGGACTGAACTGAGGACTGAACCAAGACTAAACCAGGACTAAACCGGGACTAAACCAGGACTGAACCACAACTAAACCAAGTCTACACCAGGAATAAACCAGGACTAAATTAGAGCTGAAACATGACTGAACGAGGTCTGAACCAGGTCTGAACCAGGTCTAAACCAGGTCTAAACCAGGTCTAAACCAGGACTAGGACTTGGACTCTAGTTCCGTCCCTGAGAGAACCCTTTGCCCCGTGAAGCGTGGAGTTCTGTGTTGGTCCTTTCGCCCGCGGTTTCCCGACGGTCTATGCACCTCCGGCCCGTCCCGACACTCGGAACCGTAACTTTGGCGTTTCACCGCTGCTGATATCGCCGTGATTTTAACGAATTTGTACGAAGAAAAACGAAAAAAAACAACACTTTAGTCCAGGTTAATTCATTACTTTTATAACACGTTACTCCCAACACTGTTTGCAAATGCCCCACTGCGGAACATTTCAGACAAAGCACTAACACCTTTAGAGACACGAGACAGTCAGCGGCAGGCACCTCCACCCGAAAAGTGACATAGTGCAGCTTTAATCGTGGAAAAAAAAAACGTGGCGAGGTTAGTCGTTATCACAGCACACGGGGGGTGGGACTCACAGTGTTGTGAGTGACAAGTCCGGGAGCCAATGGGAGCGGGAGACTGTCCAGGGGGAGGGGCTTAGACAGTTTGGAGGGAGACGGACTCAGGGTACAAACGCACTTTTGTGACGGGAGAAAAGTTTAAATAAATAAAAAATAAATAAATAAATAAAAGAAGAAAAAAAGGGAGAAAAAGAGAGAGAGATCACAGGTTGACAGTGAGAAACAGTCACAGACGGGAAACAGCTGGAACACAGATTTAAGTTTCAACCTTTTTCAGTGTCGTAAATCCAAATTAAAACTGCTCTTTCTACAACTTAAGCCATTTTCACACGGGATTAGTTTGACCTGTGGACCTTTGGTGATTTGTCATAATTACGGAAGACGCTTGAGATCTTAAACCTGTATGAATGCGCCGTGTTTTTAATTTGTAAAGTAAAAATTCCGCCGCAAATTACCTCCAATATTTCGCCAAACACAGAAATCCGGTGATAAATCTCTGTGTTTGTCGTTGTAATTGCACCTTTTCCCTTTTTCTTTTCTTTCCGCGTTATTTTCTCTTTCAATTTCTGTGTCAGTGTCAGTAAAATAGATTAAATTTGCGGGCTTTTCTTATCCGAGTAACGCAGAGGTGAGAAGATAATTTGCAAATCAGCAGACGTCCCCAGGTTGTGTTTATCCCGTGCGAATCGGGCTATAAAAGCGCACCGTGTAACTTTTCGCCATGAATTGTTATTGTTTTGTCTAGAATGTTCCACAGTATGGCATTAAATATGGAATATAATTTGTTCCGTTAGATTTTGAATTGTAAATGACGTTGAACTTCTTTGCCACTTTGAATTTTCTCAAAATTTTTAACTCAGAAAAAAGAGGTTTGAATTATTATTTTTTTCTGAATTTTAGTTGCTGAAATTTTAAATGTACTTTTTCAATATGGTTCAAAATTTTTATTTCTTGGTTTAGTTCTGGTTTAGTCCATCTGATCTAGTCCTGGTCTAGTCCTTCAGACCTAGTCCTGGTTTACTCTTGGTTTTTGTCTTGGTTTTTGTCTTGGTTTTTGTCTTGGTTTTTGTCTTGGTTTTTGTCTTGGTTTTTGTCTTGGTTTTTGTCTTGGTTTTTGTCTTGGTTTTTGTCTTGGTTTTTGTCTTGGTTTAGTCCTTCTGATCTAGTCCTGGTTTACTCTTGGTATTTCTCTTGGTTTAGTCCTGGTTTAGTTCTGGTTTACTCTCGGTTTAGTCCTGATTAAGTCCTGGTGTAGTCCTGGAATTTCCTCAAAATTTTTAACTCAGAAAAAAGAGGTTTGAATTATAATTTTTTTCAGAATTTTAGTTGCTGAAATTTTAAATGTACTTTTTCAATATGTTTCAAAATTTTTATTAAAAATTCCAAATTTAAATTTCACCTTTTAAATATTCGGCGTGGATATTTTCAAGAGGAGGACAGAGGCTGTTTCACTCCGAATTCTACACAAAATTTTACAGGTCTTGAAAATATTTGTGCTAAATATTTAAAAGGTATTTTTTTATATATTGAATTTTAAACATTTTGAAAAAACATGTCTGAATTATTTTTATTCAGATTTTATTTTTTCAAGTGTATTTTCAGAGTTAAAAAATCGTGAGAAAATTCAAAGCGAGAAATTCATCGGCATTTAAAATTAAAACTCTGATGAAACATGTTATCTTCCAGAATTAAACTAATTTGTATTTCTTTGCGGGAAAAAGCAGGTAACGGCAATTGGCCCAGTTACAGGTCAGATCTGTGGAGAGGTGACCCTGCTAACAATAAAAATCTATATCTATCGAGGTAATTTATTTTAAAAACTTGTATAAATATAAGAAAATAGATTAAATGCCACACTGTGAAATGTTCTAATCAAAGCAAAACAGTTCATACGGAGACCAAAAGTGACAGAGTGCACACAGTTTTTCATAAATTTAAAGATTTTCTGAGCTGGTTTTATGGTTCATATTTTTGTATTTTACTGGAGTTTTTCACATAAAACTGAAATTGGCACAAAACTGAAGTGAGCCGATTTGTACCTGTGAGGGGGGAGAGGTGGAGAAGGACGTGGTGCAGACTTCCTGTGAATCCTGGACTCCGGGGAATGGACCTGAGTCATCGTCGTCTGGAGGCCTGAGAAAAGAGAGAGAAAGAGAAAGACAAGGAAAAGAAAAGAAGAGAAAGAGGTAAAGAGAAGAATGATTAACTCTTATCAAAACATCGGTAGTCAGATTTCTGATGAAGTCCAAGTTCTCTGTTTGCATTTGGAGGTTTAGTCCTGGTGAAGTCCTGGTTTAGTCCTGGTTTAGTCCTGGTTTAGTCCTGGTTTAGTCCTTCTGACCTAGTCTTGGTTTAGTCCAGGTTTAGTTCTGGTTTAATTTTGGTATACTTTTGGTTTACTTTTGGTTTAGTCCTGGTTTAGTCCTAGTTTAGTCCTGGTTTACTCTTGGTTTAGCCCTGGTTTAGTCTTGGTTTAGCCCTGGTTTAGTCTTGGTTTAGTCCGGGTTTAGTTCTGGTTTAGTTTGGTTTAATTTTGGTATACTTTTGGTTTACTTTTGCTTCAGTCCTGGTTTAGTCCTTCTGATCTAGTCCTGGTTTAATCCTGGTTTAGTCCTTCTGATTTAGTCCTGGTTTAGTCCTGATTTAATCCTGTTTTAGTCCGGTTTTAGTACTAGTTTAGTCCTGTTATAGTCCTGGTTTAGTCCTTCTGACCTAGTCCTGTTTTAGGTCTGCTTTACTCTTGGTTAGTCCTGGTCTAGTCCTTCTGATTTCTTCCAGGTTTAGGTCTGGTTTACTCTTGGTTTAGTTCTGGCCTAGTCCTTCTGGTCTAGTCCCCGTTAATCCCACCTAAATAATCCTGGTGGAGATCTAGGTTGATATTATGTCGTTTTCACCCGTTTTGCTCGAGATGAATCTTTAGTTTAGTTTCTTCTTAAGACCTGAGTTTTGTTTTTATTATGTATGAAGTATGAGCAAACAAGACCCTTTAAAATCTTCACGTTGTGATTTTGTCTTGTGTTTTTTGTACCTGTAGTTGCACGGCTGCCCCACGGTCACGGGTCTCTGTCCACACGAACCGTCCACGAAATGATCCACGATGATCCCCATGATCGGAGCCGAACGCTCAAACTGTCTGCACGACCAAGAAGAAAAGTCAATATTAAACACTAAATTATAAAGATTTTAGACTTTTTTGGACATAATTTTGACACGATGATGATGAAGAAGACCTTGAAAATATATAAAATGTATGTAGAATGTATTTTAAAACATATTCTTAAACATGGGTCAACCAGAGTACTGCATTCTGAATATTCTGAATACTTTTACACAAAGTTTCATTTAAATTATAGTGTAAAACTATAACATGGGAACAACTTATTTCTGTTACACATTTCTATCACTAACTAGAGCAGGAAAGATTTATGAAAATCATAAAAACAAGAGCTGTCGTTTCTATTTTTCTCACTAATTCTGTGCAGATTGAAGTTTAAATAGTGATTTTAAACAAGTTACTGAACATTAGGACTGTGCAAAAATATCAAAATATCGATATATCGTATTGTTTAATGTGCTGATACAGTATCGATATTGTGGGCTGCTGTGTCGATATGTCATCAAGAGTATTTTTTGGTTTATTTTACAAAATTATTCTGTTACAGCTACATTTTTGTTGCTTGTTCACAGGAAGGAAACTCGTTTATGACACACGTTTGACATTTTCACTGTTTTGATGATTAACATGGGAGTGTTTCATGTGAACATTGCACAAGAAGTGGTTTAACAAAGACTTTTCGTTTCACAGCCATGATTTAGACATTATTTTTTATTGAATTGTGTCGTATCGATTTGAACTGTATCGAAATATGTATCGTATCGGCAACTTTTTAATGATTCCCAACCTTGCTGAACACCAAAATGAAAAAGTAACTGCACCAGAATACTCAAAATTAGTATCATGAACACATATTCTCTGTACTTGTATTCAGTTACTTCCTGATATTGTTCACTAGCTGAAACAGATTCAGAAAGTTCAGTTCAGGATGTTAATATTTGATTATTTTTAACATAAAGCAGCACTGAGTAAGTTTCAGGAAACAGAAAATTAAAACTGTACAGGAATGAGAAGGATAGTTTTCTTATTTTCTCTTTTCTTGCCAGTGAAGTAAAACTGTCTCTCACAAGTAAAATTTGACAGAGTTGCTACTTGGAGACATAATTGTGGGAATGGGAAAAATTTCAGCTTTTATCAACGTGTTTTTTCTTATCCACGACTCACCGACTGGACATAAACGCGAGGTTTGTACGATAGGCGCAGGAGAGCGTAACCGTGCCGACCGGCGTCCCCACCACGCCGACTCTCACCGTCTGAAAACCTGGAAAAATAACACAAAAAATAAGGCATTTTACTGGCATTTTTGAGAATATCTGAATGTAAAACAAATGCTTATCACTACACGGTCTTACCTTCCCCTAATCCACTGAGCTGGACCTCACCAAAATAGATTCTATAGGAAAAAAATACATACATTGATTAAAAACATCCAAGCACTAAATATCTATAAGTTGTATCCTAATATTGGGTATGTTTATAGTCATTTTAGTTAAATAACTTAATAAAAAACACTCACCTGTACAATATAACATAGTCGTGGCCCTGTTTTCTGGACAGTTTGTAGGCAGGCGTGACTCTGGTGATGGCCAAGAGCGATTTCAGCAGCACAGAGAGACGATTGTAGACGGTGTACGAAACCTTAATGTCCTTGTCACATCTACAAGAATGGAAAATTTTAAAATAAAACTATAATTTTAAGACAATTTCATAAGATTTTAATGTATTAGTAATGTTTGGCAAGAGGAATTTACTCACTTTTCATTCATTTCTAAACACCACGTTTCCAGCTCCATAGAGTCACCCTGGAGAAAAAAGAAGAAATAATAATTATACAGATGTTGATTTTATATTTATCTCTATAAATTAGACCAAGGAGAGACATGTTTGTAAAGTATTAAATGTAGTATTATCGCAGTTAGAGCACTTTTTGTTTTGGGTAAAATTTTAAGATAAACATTAGTAAACAGGCCTTGGGCAGAAATTTTTGTGGTTAAATCTCTTTACAGCAACAATAACAACGACCTTAAAATGAACAAAACATGGATTAGAAGTGAAATAATTGTAGATTTATAAGATTTTTTTAGGGTTAGTTCTGGCATAGTCCTGATTCATTCAGTTTCTGGTTTAGTCCCTGGTTCAGTCCCTGGTTTAGTCCGTGGTTCACTCCGTGGTTTAGTCCGTTCAATTTCAGTTTACACCTTGTTATGTAATTAGTTGTTTGTGATTTTAGATTGTGGTTTGTGTTTCTTGGTACAAATTAAAACAAAAAATTTCAAATAAAATGTCTGTGGTTTAACACTAAACAAACTGGTAACTGTGTTAAAATTTGACATTATTACCAATTTTGTGAATTTAATTAGTATATTTTTATATCTTAGTAGTAGCAGTAGTAGTAGTAGTAGTAGTAGCAGCAGTAGAGGTAGTAGTAGTAGTAGAAGTAGTAGTAGTTAGAGTTAGGACAAGATCTCGTGCCACAAGATCTTGCAAGACAAAATTGCCACAAGACGGTGCACACATGCTGAAAATGATCTTGTGATTGGATAAAAAATAGAGTTAAATACTGAGGAGTAAAATTTTTTAGGGAAGCTGCAGTCCCAAAAAGCAGTCTTACGGTGACAGCAGAAATATTAAATAATGGTGAGCCCAAAATTTGGAACTGGATTGTACAATTGACTTAATATGAACAATGTCAAAATCTCACCCTGTTTTGTTTTTGTTGTCTCGTCTCATCTTGTGGAAATTGTATTTTGCCCCACCCCTTGTAGTTACTCTAGTGCAGGGGTCTCCAACCTGTAGCTCGGGAGCAACCAGTAGCTCTCCACCATCCTCCAAGTAGCTCGCCAAGAGATTTATGAATTGTACTTATTGTGCTGAATAACTCAAACTGATGAATTAAATGTCTATTATCATTGTAAATGTATCATTTTGATGTCTAACTTTGTGCACTAAAACTGATTAAAGGTTTAAGTTTTACAGGCATCCGTCTGTACCTCATCTAAAGCTCGTTGTGCCTCTTGAATACACTCAATTTCTTACAACTGCTAACATTAGTAGCTCTCTGGCATTCTAATTTTGTAAAGGTAGCTCACCAGAGGAAAAAGGTTGGAGACCCCTGCTCTAGTGGATCTAAAATACTGGTCTAAATATTGTACCTCTGATGTTTTTAGAGAAATCTCCACACACATGGACCGCCCGATGCCGGGGAGCTGTCCGGCCAGAGCCTTTTTAGCTTCATGAGTCACCTCTGGGATGTCTTTGATGGCTAAATTAAACTGAAAAAACAAAATAACACACAAATAAAGTAACAAACGCAACAAGCTACAGGTCTATATATGAACATACTAGCTATTTATGTTCGACTCACCCAATCTGACCCTGTTGGCGATGAAGACGAGTGAGTGCATATTTTCTCCCCTAATCGTGCTTGAACTATCACTTGGACAGTCTAGAAAATAATTTTTAAAAACACAATCAGCACTTTTTTTGGTTACATGCATTTCAAACTAGTGTTGTTACGATACAAAATGTTCAAACTCGATTTTGAAATTAAAAAATTTACTTAATACTCAAAATCAACTGTGATACCAAGATGAAAATATAAAAAATGCAACTTTTTTAGTAATAAAAAGTAATATTTAACACATACATACTTTATTTATTTTACAGTGGGATCTAACATTCTGTTCAGGAAAGCTAAAATTTTGTTCTGTTAATGTGATTTGCTCAAATTCAGAATTGATTAGTATCTGATTTAACTCTATTTCAAATTATTACCTAAACATTTTAACTAGATCTCAAGTTTACACTCACCTTCAGGGCAAAAAACTTGATAAATTTGTCCAGATCTTTTTTATCTTGTGGACTCAAGTCACTGTCCATGATGTAAGCAGAACCTGAGACAAACACACAAAGTGGTTAGTAGAAAATATAAAGGACTTAAACCCTAATCATATGATATAGGATGATTGTGCAATATATATACAAAATTAGCACGAGGACAGACATCAAAAACATTACAACTACACTTTGCACAGAAAGACACCGAATTACAGCATTGTTTGTGCAGTATTAAACGCAGTATTACAGTCATTAGAGCATTTCTTTTGGTTATATTTTAACAAAAACAATGACAAACAGGCCTCGGACATCGCCACAAATCCACATGAATCACATTTTTAGGGTTAAATCTCGTCACAACAACAATGACAACTACCTTAAAATGAACAAAACATGGACGAGAAGTGAAATAAGTGACAATTTCGAAGATTTAATACGATTTTCTCTGTAAAACGGACGTGGTCGTTAAAGGTGAGTCATTATTAGTCCGAACGCGAGCCTCTGGTGCTAACGCTACGAGCTAACACGTACACACACACACACATACATGCATTTTACTTCGAAGCAGAAATACGGTTACTTACATTAGATATTTCCTTATTAATGCGGGTTTAGTGAAGTATAAGTGCGTACAAATGCGATTACATTCAGCCACGAATAATTTATGAATTTATACGTTTAAATTTACACATCGACATCAGCAGCCGAGCCACTGCACTGTTTATCTTCTGTTTGTTTGGGTGGCGCAGCGTTCACGTACGCACTTTCAATAAATCTTCGCACAATCTTATTCAAACACTAACGTACCGCTTATCTAAATATTTATTAAACTATTAAATATGCTGTAGGACTATACTGAATCAAAACAGAAATTATTAGTGCTTTAATAAGATTGGTGTATTTTGTTGAATCTGTGACTGCATATACGTAGTTAGTTTTACATAGCGTTTGTTTACGTTTGTTAGCCGCTAGCCAGCTAACAGCATTTGTCTAAAATTTTCAGCATTTTTTTCATTTTTGAGGGCACAAATGTGGAATCGGATGGTGCAATGACCAATCGTAAATCACGCAAGCTTTGATAAATGTGTAATCCCATGCGTATATAGAGTTTGGACAATTAAGCATAGTTTACAGTGTTGTAGGTAAGTAGCCTATTCATTCAATGGTCACGTTAGTTGCAATAAAGTTGTATTTTTACGCCTTTTGAGCTTAACAGAATTGTAATAGCATAGATATTTGAAAAAATGTGTAATCAATTTTAAATTTAAATCAAAAGAACATTGTCTAATAGGTGTATACACGTGTTATAGACTTGTATTTAAAGGTGCACTGTGTAACTTTACTGTTTTTGTCCGTGAAGATGCTATTATTGGTTTGCCTGGATGCTCCACAGTATAGAATTAAACGTTTCCATGGAGACCAAAAGCAAAAAAATTCTCTACATGGAGGCAAGCAGGGGGCAGGTGACAGAAAAGTTACAAAATGCATCTTTAAATAGTCTGTATATGAATAAAAATAAATATTCAATAGTCTGTAAATAAATTAGTTTTTTGGGGGGTCAAATTTAAAAATAGACAATAACAAACAGGCCTCGGACAGACATTTTTGTGGTTAAATCTCTTTACAGCAACAATAACAACGACCTTAAAATGAACAAAACATGGATTAGAAGTGAAATAATTGTAGATTTATAAGATTTTTTTAGGGTTAGTTCTGGCATAGTCCTGATTCATTCAGTTTCTGGTTTAGTCCCTGGTTCAGTCCCTGGTTTAGTCCGTGGTTCACTCCGTGGTTTAGTCCGTTCAATTTCAGTTTACACCTTGTTATGTAATTAGTTGTTTGTGATTTTAGATTTGTGGTTTGTGTTTCTTGGTACAAATTAAAACAAAAAATTTCAAATAAAATGTCTGTGGTTTAACACTAAACAAACTGGTAACTGTGTTAAAATTTGACATTATTACCAATTTTGTGAATTTAATTAGTATATTTTTATATCTTAGTAGTAGCAGTAGTAGTAGTAGTAGTAGTAGCAGCAGTAGAGGTAGTAGTAGTAGTAGAAGTAGTAGTAGTTAGAGTTAGGACAAGATCTCGTGCCACAAGATCTTGCAAGACAAAATTGCCACAAGACGGTGCACACATGCTGAAAATGATCTTGTGATTGGATAAAAAATAGAGTTAAATACTGAGGAGTAAAATTTTTTAGGGAAGCTGCAGTCCCAAAAAGCAGTCTTACGGTGACAGCAGAAATATTAAATAATGGTGAGCCCAAAATTTGGAACTGGATTGTACAATTGACTTAATATGAACAATGTCAAAATCTCACCCTGTTTTGTTTTTGTTGTCTCGTCTCATCTTGTGGAAATTGTATTTTGCCCCACCCCTTGTAGTTACTCTAGTGCAGGGGTCTCCAACCTGTAGCTCGGGAGCAACCAGTAGCTCTCCACCATCCTCCAAGTAGCTCGCCAAGAGATTTATGAATTGTACTTATTGTGCTGAATAACTCAAACTGATGAATTAAATGTCTATTATCATTGTAAATGTATCATTTTGATGTCTAACTTTGTGCACTAAAACTGATTAAAGGTTTAAGTTTTACAGGCATCCGTCTGTACCTCATCTAAAGCTCGTTGTGCCTCTTGAATACACTCAATTTCTTACAACTGCTAACATTAGTAGCTCTCTGGCATTCTAATTTTGTAAAGGTAGCTCACCAGAGGAAAAAGGTTGGAGACCCCTGCTCTAGTGGATCTAAAATACTGGTCTAAATATTGTACCTCTGATGTTTTTAGAGAAATCTCCACACACATGGACCGCCCGATGCCGGGGAGCTGTCCGGCCAGAGCCTTTTTAGCTTCATGAGTCACCTCTGGGATGTCTTTGATGGCTAAATTAAACTGAAAAAACAAAATAACACACAAATAAAGTAACAAACGCAACAAGCTACAGGTCTATATATGAACATACTAGCTATTTATGTTCGACTCACCCAATCTGACCCTGTTGGCGATGAAGACGAGTGAGTGCATATTTTCTCCCCTAATCGTGCTTGAACTATCACTTGGACAGTCTAGAAAATAATTTTTAAAAACACAATCAGCACTTTTTTTGGTTACATGCATTTCAAACTAGTGTTGTTACGATACAAAATGTTCAAACTCGATTTTGAAATTAAAAAATTTACTTAATACTCAAAATCAACTGTGATACCAAGATGAAAATATAAAAAATGCAACTTTTTTAGTAATAAAAAGTAATATTTAACACATACATACTTTATTTATTTTACAGTGGGATCTAACATTCTGTTCAGGAAAGCTAAAATTTTGTTCTGTTAATGTGATTTGCTCAAATTCAGAATTGATTAGTATCTGATTTAACTCTATTTCAAATTATTACCTAAACATTTTAACTAGATCTCAAGTTTACACTCACCTTCAGGGCAAAAAACTTGATAAATTTGTCCAGATCTTTTTTATCTTGTGGACTCAAGTCACTGTCCATGATGTAAGCAGAACCTGAGACAAACACACAAAGTGGTTAGTAGAAAATATAAAGGACTTAAACCCTAATCATATGATATAGGATGATTGTGCAATATATATATATACAAAATTAGCACGAGGACAGACATCAAAAACATTACAACTACACTTTGCACAGAAAGACACCGAATTACAGCATTGTTTGTGCAGTATTAAACGCAGTATTACAGTCATTAGAGCATTTCTTTTGGTTATATTTTAACAAAAACAATGACAAACAGGCCTCGGACATCGCCACAAATCCACATGAATCACATTTTTAGGGTTAAATCTCGTCACAACAACAATGACAACTACCTTAAAATGAACAAAACATGGACGAGAAGTGAAATAAGTGACAATTTCGAAGATTTAATACGATTTTCTCTGTAAAACGGACGTGGTCGTTAAAGGTGAGTCATTATTAGTCCGAACGCGAGCCTCTGGTGCTAACGCTACGAGCTAACACGTACACACACACACACATACATGCATTTTACTTCGAAGCAGAAATACGGTTACTTACATTAGATATTTCCTTATTAATGCGGGTTTAGTGAAGTATAAGTGCGTACAAATGCGATTACATTCAGCCACGAATAATTTATGAATTTATACGTTTAAATTTACACATCGACATCAGCAGCCGAGCCACTGCACTGTTTATCTTCTGTTTGTTTGGGTGGCGCAGCGTTCACGTACGCACTTTCAATAAATTTTCGCACAATCTTATTCAAACACTAACGTACCGCTTATCTAAATATTTATTAAACTATTAAATATGCTGTAGGACTATACTGAATCAAAACAGAAATTATTAGTGCTTTAATAAGATTGGTGTATTTTGTTGAATCTGTGAATGCGTATACGTAGTTAGTTTTACATAGCGTTTGTTTACGTTTGTTAGCCGCTAGCCAGCTAACAGCATTTGTCTAAAATTTTCAGCATTTTTTTCATTTTTGAGGGCACAAATGTGGAATCGGATGGTGCAATGACCAATCGTAAATCACGCAAGCTTTGATAAATGTGTAATCCCATGCGTATATAGAGTTTGGACAATTAAGCATAGTTTACAGTGTTGTAGGTAAGTAGCCTATTCATTCAATGGTCACGTTAGTTGCAATAAAGTTGTATTTTTACGCATTTTGAGCTTAACAGAATTGTAATAGCATAGATATTTGAAAAAATGTGTAATCAATTTTAAATTTAAATCAAAAGAACATTGTCTAATAGGTGTATACACGTGTTATAGACTTGTATTTAAAGGTGCACTGTGTAACTTTACTGTTTTTGTCCGTGAAGATGCTATTATTGGTTTGCCTGGATGCTCCACAGTATAGAATTAAACGTTTCCATGGAGACCAAAAGCAAAAAAATTCTCTACATGGAGGCAAGCAGGGGGCAGGTGACAGAAAAGTTACAAAATGCATCTTTAAATAGTCTGTATATGAATAAAAATAAATATTCAATAGTCTGTAAATAAATTAGTTTTTTGGGGGGTCAAATTTAAAAATAGACAATAACAAACAGGCCTCGGACAGACATTTTTGTGGTTAAATCTCTTTACAGCAACAATAACAACGACCTTAAAATGAACAAAACATTCATTAGAAGCAAAATAATTGTACATTTATGAGATGTTTTTAGGTTTAGTCCTGGTTCATTCAGTCCCTGGTTTAGTCCCGGTTTAGTCCTGGTTCAATTTCAATTTACACCTTGTTATGTAATTAGTTGTTTGTGATTTTGACCCATTTTGAGTCCAGTTTTGTGTTTCTTTGGTACAAATTAAAATGATTAAATGGTAACTGTATTAAATATTGACATTATTACCAATTTTGTACATTTAACGAGTATATTTTTATGTCCTAGTAGAAATAGTAGCAGCAGAAATATTAAATAAAAATAAATAAAAAATTGTGAACCCAAAATTTGGAACTGGATTGTACAATTTATTTATCATCAACAATGTCAAAATCTCGTCTTGTCTCGTTGTTGTTTAGCCAATCTCGTGTCCCGTTTTGTCTTGGCTCACCAACATACACACAATTATTTTGAATGTAGATTTAAAGTGTTTACTGATATAATTTGGTTTATTAAACTGTTGTAGATTTGTAAGCATGGCCATCTCCATCGCCATCCTGGACTGCGATCTGCTGCTCCACGGACGAGGGCAGAAGACGATGGACCGATTCGACCTGGACTCTGTCTCTGATCACTTTCTAATCACACATTTCGGCTTCCCCAAGTCCTTCATACTCTATTTGGTGGAGCTATTAAGAGAAGTGAGTATTTTATATGGTAAATTAATATGCAAGACCGTTTAACATTATTTTATCTTCATCGTTATTAATGCATCAAACTATGGCCCCATTTTCTATTTCCATCCACATTGTGTAAATAAATATTAGTAAAAATTATTTTCTCACAATATTCAAAATAGTATCAGATTTTTGTACGTATTTAAGCTTACAAAATATTTTTTTTAAATGTATTTCTGTATTCTTTTAACTGTTACAATGGACATTTAGTATTTGCTTTTCAGATAGTTTGAGGTGTAGAATGCTGTAAGATCCAAAATATCAACACTAATTTGTTATTGTGGCATTACTACTTTACTACAACAACAATGCTAAATATTCTCTTTCTTAATCAGATCACATATGTTGTTGTTTTCGGTTTCAGAGCCTTTCTCGTCGTACTCAGAGATCCAGAGCGATCAGTCCAGAGGTGCAGGTGATGGCCGCTTTAGGGTTTTACACGTCGGGCTCGTACCAGACGTCGATGGGAGACACGATCGGGATCAGCCAGGCCTCCATGTCCCGATGTGTGTCCAATGTGACCAAAGCTCTGGTGGAAAAGGCTCCACAGTTCATCTCTTTTTTCAGGTAAATGGGGCTGGGTTAGCATTACGACCAAATTTAATAATAATCGTAATAATTGATAATATTTTGTTTTGACACAGAGATGAGTCGAGCAAAGAGCAGATGGGGATGTTTGAGAGAGTGGCTGGTTTTCCTGGAGTCATTGGCGTCCTCGACTTTGTTCAGGTGCGTGCAATTCTAAAAAAAGAAACTTTACTTTTTAGGGTTGCGAGATTAATGAATGAATTGAAATTGGCAAATCGCAAAGCTTGCAATTATCAATAATCATTTCCTCTACAAACAGCAAAGTCTTATTCTGAATAAAAGCTGCTGATCATGTAGTTTAGATCAGTACAAACATGTTCTGAAATGTAATTCTTCGGTCTTCAGTCCTTTTTGTCAGTTCTTCTGGGCGTGTTTAAAATGTGAACTTTGAACAGAATGAAATTAATCTTATAATTATATTTTCCCTAAATCCTTCAGCCTCTTAACTTTCCCCTCTGCAGTTGGCGATTAAAGCCCCGAACAGCAAGGATCAGTCGTATGTGAATAAGAAGAAGGTCCTAGTTTAGTCCTGGTGTAGACGTAGTTTAGTCCTGGTTTAGTCCTGGTTTAGTCCTGGTTTAGTCCTGGTGTAGACCTGGGTTATTCATGGTGTAGACCTGGTACAGTCCTGGTTTATTCATGGTTTTGTCCAGGTTTAGTCCTGGTACAGTCCTGGTTTAGTCCTGACATTTGAAACTTATTCTGAATAAAAGCTGCTGACCCTGTAGTTTCGATCTGTACAAACATGTTCAGAAATGTGATTCTTGAATTTGTTCATCAGTTCAGATTTCAGTCTTTTTGTCAGTTCTTCCAGACATGTTTCAAATATGAACTTTGAACTGAATCAAACAAATCTTATCATTATATTTTCCCTAAATCCTTCAGCCTCTTAACGTTCCCCTCTTGCTGAAAGTGCAGGTGGCCATCAAAGCTCCGAACAGCGAGGACCAGTCGTACGTGAATAAGAAGGGCTTCCACTCGGTCGGGGTGCAGCTGGTGTGTGACTCCAGGGGGCTGCTGCTCAGCGCCGAGACTCACTGGCCTGGAGCTCTCAGGGACTTCGACGTGCTGCAAAGATCTGCGCTCTACAAAACCATGGAGGATCTGGGCCAGGGCTGGCTGCTCGGTGAGAAACCAAGAGAACAGCACATACAGGGTGAAGTATAGTTCTGCGTCGAGTCATCGCGCACTGCTGCCGTCGCCGTCAGGCGATTTATGGATCTGCGTTAAGGTCTGTGCACAGCGAAGTAATTCACCGCCAAAATGCTAAGGGGCTAAGATATATGTCCATTCATATATACGATATATACGTACGACCTGCAGACGTATAATCTCTGAAAAGTTCCATCTCCGACATGATAAAAGTACAGAACAGACTCATTAGTACAACATCCCTCTGTCATAGAAACAACACACATATTCCACTGAGTCGTGTCTTTTTAAAGTCTGATAGAAGCTGACCGCGTCAGGGCACAAGAGTGATCTGTTTTTTGAGCGCTTAGTTTATCCAATATATATATTATATATATTATTCGATAACCCTATGCTGTATGACCCATGTTTCTAGTGCAATACATTTTTTAGGCTTAAAGTTAAAATCCATTGATTCTCCGACACCAGGTGTTTTTGATGATCAGATTTATAGGGATGGTATCGGTCAGTATTGATACTAATTTGTCGATATCTGTGTAGGCCGATATTGATTCTCGATACAGATATTTGCGCTGCCATCCTCTCTGAGTGCCCTTTCCGAACAAACTAATGAGTCAAAATGGAAACAGAAAAACTTTATAAGACTGTTTTTTTTACACAAACATGTAACAATTATTTTAAGTTTGACTAAAATGACATACTAAAGTTAATTTGTGAATTTCTGGGCCTCTCTCAGTGGACTTTAAATGTGAAATATCAGTTATCAACCACAACCATAGGCCAAATATCGGTATCGGCACAAACCTCCAGATTTATCTTGTGCATTTAAAGACCAAAAGTCAGATCTAATTCTTGTGTTGTCTGAGTATTATCGATCTCTGTTTGTCTGTTTTTGTGTCAGGTGACAGCCGATATCCTTTGAGGAAGTGGCTGATGACTCCTGTGGATTACCCAGAATCCCCTGCAGATTTCCGCTACAACTTGTCCCACACCACGACGCACGAGATCGTGGACCGGACCTTCAGAGCCATTCAGACCCGGTTCAAGTGTCTGGACAGCAGCAAGGGATATTTACAGGTAAAAGATACTGGTGGGACTGTTGCCATGGTGATAAATGAAAAAAACTAATTATATATGTTATATCTTTTGAATGGGAAAAAGTCAGGAAAATATAAGTATCAAGTGGACAGTGTTTTTTTTTTTTAGACCTGGTTTAGTCCTGGTTTAGTCTCGGTTTAGTTCAAGTTTAGATCTTGCCTTACTACAATTCTTGGTCCGATTTAGTAGTGCTAGTGTAGACCTGGTTTAGACCTGGTTTCAGTTCGGTTCTTGTTCAGTCTAGGTTTAGTTCTAGTTTAGTCTTGGTTTAGTTCTAGATTTTTCCTAGATTAGATCATGCTTCACTACAGTTCTACGCATGGTTTAGTAGTTCCAGTGTAGACCTGGTTCTGTCCTTGATTAGTCTTGGTTTAGTTCTGGTTTAGGCCTTTTATGGTCTTGGTTTAATCCTGGTTTAGACCTGGTTTAGTTCTAGTTTAGATCTTGCCTCATGACAGTTCTAGGCATGGTTTAGTAGTTCCAGTGTAGACCTGGTTTAGTCTTGGGTTAGTCTTGGTTTAGTTTTTTTTTAGTCTTGGTTTAGTCTTGGGTTAGTTCTGGTTTAGGCCTTTTTAAATTTTGGTTTAGTCCTGGTTTAGTCCTAGTTTAGATCTTGCCTCATGACAGTTCTAGGCATGATCTAGTAGTTTCAATGTAGACCTGGTTTGTAGTCTTGGTTTAGTCCTGGTTTAGACCTGATTTAGTCCTGATTTATTCCTAGTTTAGATCATGCTTCACTACAGTTCTAGGCGTGGTTTAGTAGTTTGAGTGTAGACCTGGTTTAGTCTTCGTTTAGTCCTGGGTTAGACCTCGTTCAGTTCTTGTTTAGTCGTGGTTTAGTTCTAGTCTAGTCTTGGTTTAGTCCTGGTTTAGTCCTAGTTTAGATCTTGCCTCATGACAGTTCTAGGCATGGTTTCGCAGTTCTAATGTAGACCTGGTTTAGTCTTGGTTTAATCCTGGTTTAGTTCTGGTTTAGTTCTAGTTTAGTCCCAATATTGTCGCCTAATTTGTTTGGTTAAATTTTCCCTCTAAAGTAAAATAAAACTGTCTCTCTCTGCAGTATTCCCCGGACAGAAGCTCGTCCATCATTCTGGCCTGTTGTGTTTTACATAACGCGTCGCTTCAGTCCGGACTCGACGCCTGGACTTTGGAACGGACCGACCCCCGAGAGCCTCCGGAGCGAGTCCAGGAAAACCCCGAGGACCGAGACCACGGCGCCTACGACATACGCAAGGACATTATACTCAAACACTTCAGCTAAAAACTCTTCCCTTATGTGGACAAAAAAACAAACTGAGGAACTGATGATCGAACGCAAGAATCCCACGGGTTTGTAGAGCTTTAAATTTCAGTTTTTTGGTTTTTTTTACACAAAATGGGGACACAGGGAGGGCATCTGACACACAGGGGCATTATATCATCTTAAAGGTACAGTATATTTAACATTTTAGAGGTGGCAGCTGTATGATTCCACGGAAATAGAAAGTTAAAACCACACTTCGGAACATTCTCCATGGAGATAAGATCAGTTTTATGTCGTTATTAACCGTGGAAGATCTCCATGGAAACAAATAGGCCAAGTAAGCGTCGGGTTTGTGGAGATGCAAGACCGTTCACAGTAAAACATACAGTCCTGGTACAGACCTGGTTTAGTCCTGGTTTATTCAAGGTTTAGACCTGGTTTAGTCCTGATACAGTCCTGGTTTATTCAAGGTTTAGACCTGGTTTAGTCCTGGTTTAGTCCTGGTTTAGTCCTGGTTTATTCAAGGTTTAGACCTGGTTTAGTCCTGATACAGTCCTGGTTTAGTCCTGGTTTATTCAAGGTTTAGACCTGGTTTAGTCCTGGTACAGTCCTGGTTTAGTCCTGGTTTAGACCTGGTTTAGTCCTGGTTTAGGTAGTCCTGTTTAGTCCTGGTTTAGTCCTGGTACAGTCCTGGTACAGTCCTGGTTTAGTCCTGGGTTAGACCTGGTTTTGTCCTGGTTTAGTTTTGGTTTAGTCCTGGTTTATTCATGGTTTAGACCTGGTTTAGTCCTGGTACAGTCCTGGTTTAGTTTTAGTCCTGTTTAGTTTAGTCCTGGTTGTTTAGTTTTGGTTTAGTCCTGGTTTAGACCTGGTTTAGTCCTGTTTAGTCCTGGTTTAGACCTGGTTTAGTCCTGGTTTTAGTCCTGGTTTAGTCCTGGGTTTAGTCCTGGTTTAGTCCTGGTTTAGACCTGGTTTAGTCCTGGTGTAGACCTGGTTTAGTCCTGGTACAGTCCTGGTTTTGTCTTGTTTAGTTTTGGTTTAGTCCTGGTTTATTCATGGTTTACCTGTTTAGTTACAGTCTGTTTAGTTTAGTCCTGTTAGTCCTGGTTTAGTTTGTTTTTGGTTTAGTCCTGTTTAGTTTTGTTTAGTCCTGGTTTAGTTTTGGTTTAGTCCAGGTTTAGTCCTGGTACAGTCCTGGTTTAGTTTTGGTTTAGTCCTGGTTTAGTTTTGGTTTAGTCCTGGTTTAGTTTTGGTTTAGTCCTGGTTTAGTCCTCACATTCAAAACTGACAAAGGTTCAAATATTGTTTTGTTTTCAGTTGTGATTCATTTTTATACTTTAAGAACAAAAATGTGCCTTTTGTTGTTGTAAAATGTAAAATATGTGAAATAAAACCAGAGACACAGTTTTTTTTTTTTTTTTTTTTTGCTGATGCATTTTTAATATTTTGCTGTTTCTACTCTACGGACTATTCTACGATACAGAGATATATGAGAGACATGCAGATCTGTACAAGGCCAAGACCACAAAACAACAACGGCTTTAAACCAACGGACAAAATCACACGGGGAAACTCTGACCGGACGTCGAGCTCGGAATACTGGAGGGATTTTACGCTGTTAAATTTTTTGAAGTTGTAATTTTAGATGGAAGGCGAGAGTCTATATAACTGTAATTATTTGTAGTTATGTAGTTAGTCTGGTTTAGTTTAGTCCGGGTTTAGTCCGGGTTAAGATCTGATAGTTTTGGTTCAGTTCAATTAGACAAAACATTTTTAAGTAACACACTTTTTCTGTTTAGATTTTGTGTTTTTGTAGTCCTGGTGTAGTCCTGGTTTAGTTCTGGTTCAGTCCTGGTTTAGTCCTGGTTTAATCCTGCTTTAGTCCTAATTTAGTCCTGGTTTAGAGCTGGTTTAGTCCTGGTTTAGACCTGGTTTAGTCCTGGTTTAGTCCTAGTTTAGTCGTGGTTTATTCCAGATTTAGACCTGGTTTAGTACTAATTTAGTCCTGGTACAGTCCTGGTTTAGTCCCTGATTTAGTCCTGTTTTAGTCCTTGTTTAGTCCTGGTTTAGTCCAGGTTTAGACCTGATTTAGTCCTAATTTAGTCCTGGTACAGAACTAGTTTAGTCCTGCTTTAGACCTGTTTTAGTCCTGGTTTAGTTCTGGTTTTAATTTTGGTTCTGTCATGGTTTAGTCCTGCGTGATTCACGATTTAGTCCTGGTTTGGTCTTGGTTTAGTCCTGGGTTATTCATGATTTAGACCTGGTTTAGTCCTGGTTCAGTCCTGTTTTAGTCCTAGTTTAGACCTGGTTTAGTCCTGGTTACAAACACTTTGTTTTTAATTCCCAATCTTGGTTCTATAATTAAAATTCGAACCCCCGTCTTTTCTTTCTCCGTTCATTTAAACCACGATTATCATTTTGTCGTCTCGGCGTCTTTACAATTTCCAAACCCTCCCTCCCTCCCTCAGACAAATTTCAAAAACCCAACCAAAAAAATTTTACCCCGAATTTTCCACATTTTTCATTTCTAATTTCCACAGGTTAAAATCTCACCACGATACAAAAACAAGGCCCCTATTTACAAAAAACTGAATCTGGCGTTCGTTATGTACATTGGTCCATTTTCACTCATTTTTTTTGGCAATATGAAAAAAGACAAATTTAAATTAAACAAAAATATGGTTATGAATCTATGGCTATTTCTGGGGGTGATTTTTGCTGTTTTGTTTTTTTTGTCGACGGGAGCAGTGGTAAAAATGTAAATTCAAAAGTGGTTTAACTTGGAGTCCCCTTTCTATAATATTTACAAACTTTCTACAACACAAATAAATACACCAACACCTGTCTCGTGAATGTTTTCTGAAGAATTTTGATTTGAAATTTGAAAATAAAATTGAAATATAAGCTCAAACGCACGCGAAATCTTAAGTTGATAATCAGAGGTGGAGTAGCCAAAAATTTTAAAGCTCCACTGTGTAAATTTTTGTTTAGAAGTTCGTCCGCTGCTTGTTTTTCTGTCTAGAATGTTCCACAGTGCGACTTTAAACAGCTTTACTTTACATTTATTCAATTAGAAGTGGTTTTAAAGCTCAAAAATACCTAAAAAACAAATATTCTGACTGTGAGCGGGGTCGCCTCTCCACAGATCTGACCTGTAACTTGGTCTAGTTTGAAAATAGAAAGGTTTAGACGAAGCATTAGATGGTAACTCCACCAGAAAAGTTACGCAATGCACCTTTAAATCAGAGTATTGTTACTTCAAAATAGTAGTACTCAAGTAGAAAGTACAAAGTTGTGGTGCAAGAAATGACTCAAGTAAGACTAAAAAAACTATTTGGGAAAGTGTCGGGTTGTAAAATCTGATTTATAATTTGAATTTAATCTAATTTGAAGGACAAAATATTAAAAAATAAGTCACTAAATTTGGTGTTTTCAAAGGATAAACACAAAAATGAGGCACAAATGTTTAAATAATTTCACATCGTCACCTGGAAGTTTTTGTCACTTTAGACTTACTCACATTGAGAAGAGGAACCACTAACTTTTACTCGAGTAAGAGTACTGTTACTGTAGTAATTAAAGTACTCCGAAAAGTACAATTTCATAAAAAGTAACTCTAAAAAGTAAAAATATAACTTGAGTACTACCCAACTCTACTTATAGTCTTAAGATTTGGCAAGTTTTGACAGAAATTTGACGTTTTGGTTTAAGAAAATCCTTAATTTATGGAAAATATGATCCAATTTTGAATATTTCTGAATTTGAACCTGTGTTTTTTTTGCTTTTAAATCACATTTTTAGTATGAAAACATTATATCAGAGAGTTTTTTTTTATTTACACAATCATCGACTGACGGTTTGTTTATGTAAGTTTATGTTTTAGTGAATAAAATATAAAAATAATAATACTTTTCCATTTTAAAGCTGCACTGTGTAACTTTTCTGGGGGAGGGTTTGCCGCCTGCTTGTCGCCATGGAGATATTAGTGCTGTTATGGCATTAAAATGATCTATTTCTCTGTCAGATCTGTGGAATGGCGAGGCAAACCAGCTCCGTTTTTTTTCTGTATTTAAGTATTTTCTTAGCGATAAAAACATCCTATAATTGAGTACAAGACAGATAAGTTTAATGCCACACTGCGCGAACATTCCAGGCCAAGCTTTAACATCTCCATGGAGACGAGCGGCTTCAGAGAAAGTTCCAGAGTGCGCCTTTAAGCCTGTAGATTTTGTTTGGTTTTGAATGATTTTTTTTTCACGAGACAGCAGTGCTACACAAACATTAGATCAACATTTTTCAACCATTGTCAAAAAAAAAAAACGTCACATCCCCAGACCGTATAAACACGTGAACTAAGCTGCAGTCAAACGAACCTCACCGAGGCCGGGAGCGAAATTTGGAGCTCAAAATTAGGAACAGGATTTGTGGGCAAAATTGTGGAATAAAAACACCAGGATCATGCAGAGCGGGTTAATACGGACATTTTAAGACCAAAGTTTTTTTCAATAGAAGGTCAATTGGAGCCGGAGTTGATGGAGCCGGAAGCGCGCCCATGCTCACTTCCTAGTTAAGCAAAGTCCACTTGTAAATACAGTCTACGGTCACATCCAAAATGACAAAAATACAATCCTTTCTTTTTTGGTGCATTCAAATAAATATGCTTTTTTCAATGCTCAGAATATATTATAAACACATTTGTTTTTTTTTCTTTTCTTTTGCGCGAAGTTATTTATAAAAACATACAATTCCATATATTTTTGTGCATAAATAAATATGCGTTTTTTTTCGATGCTGCTAAGACAATTTCTCATAAAAATATTACCACCCTCATTCGGGACTCTCGGAAATGGTTAAGAGGTTTTGACGTGAAGACGGACTTGAAAACAGTGGTGGAAAGTAACGAAGTACAAAAGTAAAAGTACAAATTTTAGGTGTTTGTAGTTTATTTAAATCAAATTTATAGCAGATACCTTTTACTTTTACTTCACTACATTTGAGAGCATGTATTTGTACTTTCTACGCAACTACATTTTAGCTCTGGACTGAAAAGTAAAAAGTACTTTGAAACTTTTTAAACAAGTTTAATTTGAGTTTCTGTCCCGACTTTGAGCAAACGAAAAGCACAAAAACAGCTAGAAAAAAATAGAAATCAATTGAATCACTTAAAATCTGCTGAATTTTTCATTAAAATCATGACATTTCATCATTTAATTGTTCTAAAACTCTCTTGAAAATACTTTTTTAAACATACTTGTTTAAAAAAAGTACTTGAGTAACTTTTTGTCCCTGTATTTGTACTTTTACTTAAGTACCAAAACTCAGTACTTTATCCACCACTGCTTGAAGGCACCGGTGAGTTAGTTCGGTAAATTATGGCAATTCAAAAATTCATATTCTAAAATTGGCAAATCTGTAGAGCATTCCTAAGAAACAACGCGTTTTCAGGTTTTGATTTTGAAAACGAAATTGTCAGTTTACAGTGTGGTACATTGATATTAAATTTTGGAGACTTAATTACCACAAAACCCAATGAGTTATGGCAATTTAAAAAAAAATTCTAATTCAAAAATTTGTAGAAAATTTGCAAAGAAACACGGATTTTCAAGTTAGATTTTGAAAACGATATTGTCAAACTACAGTGCGATACAGTTACATTGATGTTAACTGTAAAAATATGTTTTGGAGATTTAAAAAAACTATTAAATTCAGTTTGTTTCATCAGTTATTTGTAATGTAGTAATGTATTGTAGACATCTTAAGTTTTATTTAAAATTCTGCTACTACTTTTTATATTCGAGGCAAGTGTGGTTTTTCAAATGGCTTGTAGTAAATAAATACGTCTAAAATCTAAAATATCTTTTGACTTTCTGTAAAAATAATTAGTTTAATTTGTTATTCAGTCATTTCTAGGTTGGTTTGTAAACATTTATAGTCAGAGCTTGAAATAGTGAGTGTTTACAGTTCGGAATTGGACGAGTTAGTTTTTTGACATTGTGCTAGCTAGCTTAACTTAGCTTAGCCCGATTAGCTGGCTAACTTTCTCATGTTATTTTCAACAGTCAGTCACATAATTATTATTTATTTTATATAGTTTAACCAGTTAACAAACTAATTTAAAATGTGACATGCGTATTTTAAAATGTGTAAAAAAGTCAGAGAGCTAGCCAGGCTAATTTGGTCAAGCTAAAACTGTCAAAAGTTAGCGTAGCCTCACTAGCCAGCTAATTTCTTCATATTAGTTTCATAAATCAGTCAAAATTCATATAACTGATCACATATAATTTATTTAACCAATAAAAAAAATATTTAAATGTGAAGTCAGAGAGCTAGCCAGGCTAATTTGGTCCAGTTAATTTGGCAAACTGTCAAAAGTTAACTTAGCTTAGCCTGACGAGCCATCGTATTTTCTCATTATTTTCAACAATTGGTCAAATAATTATAATTGACTGCATACAACTTATTTAACCAATTTAAAAAAACTATTAAAATGTGATGTATAATCAAATAAAATAGCTAGCGAGGCTAATTTGGTCCAGTTAAATTAGCAAACTGTCAAAAGTTAACTATATTATTATTTTTTGTATTATTTTCAACAATTGGTCAAATAATTGTAACTGACTGCATATAATTTATTTAACCAGTTTTAAAAAAAAATAATAAAAATGTGATGTGTATTAAAAGTAAAATAGCTAGCGAGGCTAATTTAGTCCAGTTAGCAAATTGTCAAAAAGTTAACTTAGCTTAGCCTGACTAGCTGTATAATTTTTGTATATTATTTTCAACAGTTGGTCAAATAATTGTAATTGACTGTATACAATTTAGTAAAAAACTATTAAAATGTGATGTGTATTAAAGTGAAATAGCTAGTGAGGCTAATTTAGTCCAATTAAATTAGCAAATTGTCAAAAAGTTAACTTAGCTTAGCCTGACTAGCCATCGTATTTCTTATTTATACTGAACAACACCAGTGAACAAACCGATTAAAATATAAAATGAAGATCTTAAAATGTGTAAGAAAGCCCGATAGCTGATCAGGCTAAATTGCAATAGCCCTAAATAAAACAAAATAAAAAATATTGAAAAGTCTACTCTCTACAATTTGAAATACTATGGTTGAATATTTATTTGGCCCTTTCGTGTCAAGTTTTCCAGGTCATAAACGTGAGCGGGTCGGTGAGTGGAGACAGGAGGTGGACGTGGATCTGGCAGGTGCTGACAGGCGCTGGCAGGTGCTGGCAGGTGTCCAGCAGATGGCAGTAGAAGTAAAGAGATCGTTGAGATGATGAGCAAAGTGGAGAGGTCAAAGTTGAGAGGTCGCCTGAGGAGGGAGGAGGGCCGTCTGTCAGAAAACGTCAGGGGCCTCTGCTTTTGGATCTCTGCAGAAAAATAAAAAAGAGACACAGAGGGAGACAAATGTTATAAATGTTGAAAAGCCAAAAAGTGACATAGTGCATCTTTAATCTTGTTCTATATTGGCTGTAGATGTGGGCGATCTTAGAGCCAGATCTCAGTTTTAGTTTTACACGTATGTATGTAAACATTAGTATCTTTATATAGGTAACTAAAGTCATCTGCTTCTTCTAAACTTCACACTTCATTCTGATTGGCTGAATCCACCTGTCACTCACTCAGAAGCTTGACCAATAAGAAAAGAGTTTGAGTTTGAGTAACGACTGTATAAAGACATTTTTCACGTTTTAAGACGTTAAAAACTTTCACTTTTTTCTCCACAACAACTCACCCTTATGTAGCAGATAATACTCCCTACAACTGTACAACAACACACTCTTATGTGACATATAATACTCCCTACAACTGTACCACAACTCACCTTTATGTAACATATAATACTCCCCACAACTGTACAACAACTCACCCTTATGTAACAAATAATACTCCCTACAACTGTACAACAACTCACACTTATGTAACATATAATACTCCCTACAACTGTACAACAACTCACCCTTATGTAACATAATAATACTCCCTACAAACTGTACAACAACTCACCCTTATGTAACGGATATAATACTCCCTACAACTGTACAACAACTCACAACTTATGTAACGTAACACTCACACTATAATACTCCCCTACAACTGTACAACAACTCACCCTTATGTAACGGATAATACTCCCTACAACTGTACAACAACTCACCCTCACCCAACTCTAAAGTGTTACCAAAGTTCTGCAGATTAAATACAACATAAAATCGGTTCATTTGTGTAAAATGTTCAGTTTTTATGAGCAACAACAAGTCACACACTGCACTGATCCTGATGCGCTGAGTCTTTAAATCGACTTTTTCGTTTGTACTGAACTTATCCGCTGTTAGGTTCGGTAGCTCCAAACAAAATAAAACAACCACGTGAGTTGACAAAAGGGTCTTAGGGGTCCAGAATTAGACCCTCTTCTTATCAGTTTTTATTTAGAGCGGGGCCCATGTGATGCCTCTTGCCCCAGGCCTCCAAATTTCTGCAGACGGGCCTGAATATAACCCGAGCGATGAGGAATAAGGCGGAGTCTGTGAGGTGTCGTACCTGTGTAGAGCCTGTGTCCGGTCTGTCCTGTTCTCTGAGATGGTTCTGGACAGTTGGACCTGAGCCGAGGTCTGGGGCTCTGAGTCTGGACCCTCCTCGCTGAAGAAGAGGAGGCTGCGCGAACGCACTGAAAAAAACAAAATCGATTAGACTTAGACAAACTTTACTGATCCACAAGGGAAATTACAGTAAAAAAAAACAATAAATAAACAATAATATATAATAATAAATTCAAAATAAGCAACAAAAATAGCAAAAAATGTATATGTACAAGTAAAAATAAAATAAAAAATACAAAAATAAAGTAATAAAATATAGAAATAAAGTTAGTCTAGATTACAGTTACAGTTTTCAGTTTGCTCATGTATGCTTGTCATGTGTCACCACGGTAACTGCTCAACTCTCTGCCATAGACATACATGCAAAGTATCAAAAATATAATATCAGGGCTTCTTTTTTTTTTACTTACCGTGGCTGGTGGTGTAGATTTCCGCCGATTGCAGCTGTGCGGACGAAGGCTGCGATGAAGAGGACGAGGGGAGAGGAAGCAAGGAGAGAGGAGACGAGCAGGGAGAGAAGGAGCCTAGGACCAGGACGAAGCA